CAGAACATGGACTCACCTCCCTCTATTACCATCTCTACACAAGAATTGGAGGTTGTTCATGATTTTGTGTATCTTGACTCAACGATTGCTAACACCCTCTTCCTAGATGCTGAGCTGGATAAACGCATTGGCAAAGCAGCTACCATGTTCTCTAGACTCACAAAAAGAGTATGGCTTAATAAGAAGCTGATGGCATATACCAAGATCCAGGTCTATAGAGCCTGTACTGCAGTGAGTCCTGGACCCTTTGTGCATGGCAGGAGAGGAAGCTGAGCAAAAAGCAGTGAAAATAGGAATCATCTTTGCTTAGTGCTTTGGGGAAGAGTAATTCTCTTAAAAGTTAGTATCTTAACCTTGATTATAGGGGTCACAATTTGATACAGAACTTAGCAAGTTTCCTCCCCATTTCCATGTGTCCTAACAGTGCAGTTGGCATCAGTCCAGGCTGTTGCAGATGGTAAGTCAGAGGAGATAAGGCTTTGGCCAGTCCAGATATTTTGGATTTCAGCATGGCCTAACGACAAAATCCATGACAGGATGGCAAGGAGGATGGTCGAACCCAGCTAGACTACCCTGAAAAATCCTGGGGAAACTGGGATAATTGGAGTGTACAGACCCTCCACTTCAGTTTTTTTGCCATATTATTCACCAAACCGACAGGTCTCCTCTTTAATAATTATTTCCCTTTATTCATTGGGTAAATTCCAATGATAGCAACTCCAGCAGACCAGGAATGGCATGAGATTTATCCCTGTAGAAAGTAAGATGCCTTAATAAATGTGAATTTTGCCTCTAGCTCCACACATTTGTATTTCATTGAAAAATTAAAGGTGTTAGTAAAAATAGCAGAAGTGGAATTGCTTGGGGCTGGATACCATTACCCACTGAAACCACCAAGTATAAGTAGTTTCCTGTTCTGCTTCTGTGATGTGTCTCCTGCAGGAAGGTAATCTCATTTTTCTTCATTAGCAAAGCAAGGGAGGGAGGCTTTTCCTCTTTCTAGGTTTTCCTAATCATCCCAGAATGAGTTGTTTCAGATCATGCACCGCAGCTCTCAGATTGCCACACACTCTCATTGGTTGTGTTCGCTGGAGAGGGTGAGCATTATTGTCTAACATAGTTTGAAGGCAACAGGATGGAGAAGTGTGTAATAGGTGCACAACCATTACAGACTTTCTCAGCCATTTCCTGCTCCCTAAGTCCCTCGCTCTCTTGTCTGGTCCCTCCCCCGCCAACAAACCCAACTGTTCTCAAAACAATTTGGAGACATAGTTTTAAAGGAATGTAATGGGAGTGATTTTCCACATCTTATAATGCAGAACACTGCTTACATTATGCTGAAACAGACTAACACCTCCATAGCCGCCTAGAGTGGTCGAAATGACTAGATAGGCGGGGTATAAATACAATAAATAAATAAATGAATGAATGAATGAATGAATGAATGAATGAATGAATGAATGAATGAATGAATGAATGAATATCTTGAGTGACTGCAATAAGAACGTGGACTGGCAAGCAACCTACAGGTCTTTTTAAATGGGTCAGGAATAAAACTTTCATGAAAGGTGAGGGTCTAAATATTGAAGTCCGACTCTTGAGTCATAGCCTGTTTGCCATGTTTGCCTTCTGCCCTTTTCTAACTTTTCTTGGATTTCCCTCCATTTGCTAACATTTCTCTGAATCACTTTACACTCCTCCTCATCCAGTTGTTGCTTCTAATGTGCTTCTTGTTTGGTGGCAGAAGAATATGTGGGGATGGGGGTGGAAAGCCTCCTATCAGACCTTGATTTTAGCTTTTTATGATTTTTCAGTTTAGGAATGAAATCTCCCTCCTACTTAAACCCTTTGCACTGAGTTCTTGCATGACTTTCATGTTTGCAGCATAGATGATGGAGTGCACATTCTTCAGTTTCCAGACAATAGGCTCCTTTAGCGTGAAGCGCTCACAGGCTGTAATGATGTCTCTGTAATGATGTTTGTAGGTGCATAGGCAGTAAAGCCCTATACATTTAATGCAGATGCTAGGCAGGTATATATCTATTCACACATAAGGCTAAAGTCGTGGGGCAGTAAAGCTCTCCTCCCAACTGTCCCTGCCTCCCAGAGGTCAGAGCACAAAGATTTGAAAAGCAGTCTATAAGACCATTCGCCTGCTAAACCAGGGTTTCCAACCATGGGAATGCTGCAAAGGTGTTTAGCTGAACACACGTGCAGGTCCTCTTCAGGACTTCACATTTAACACACGAATACACAAATGCTGCCAGCTGTGTGGGAATGTTCAGGACAAGGCTTACTTGTTTGGCCACATCCCCACCTCAGATTCAGCCCTGCATATGCACAAGGAAACACCTGCATAGGGCTTTGGAAATTTAGAAGCCCAGAAGGAGTTCAGAGAACTATCTAGCTAAAAGGTCAAACCTTTCAAACCATTGTCCTTTCACTCAGGCAGGCCATGAACCTGTAAAGAGGACCACTCTAGAATTGCTGCTAGAAGAGCATCCAAGTGTGATTATTTACATGGACAACTTCCAGGGTACCAAAGTGTTATTTGCACGGGGATCAGCCACTGCTAAATCAGATTTGGCTTAGGAAGTTACTTGATCTTCCATAGTTCAAAACTAATAAAGGGAATATTTGCCAACGGTTCCTGAAGATACAAAAACAACACCTTACTCTCTTTTTCTTATCTCCCTAGGCTCAGCATCTCCCACGATCACCCCTAATGGAAGCACTCTGATTGTGGAAAAAGACAAACAAGTGAGCTTATTTTGCTCTGGGAATGCCAGCGTGGAGTGGATTGGCATAAAGAATGATTCCAAAACGACGATCTACAACAATGGCACCCTCTATATACCGAAGGCCACATGCAAAGAGATGAGAAATTACCAATGTGCCTATGTCAATAGTACTGATAAAGAGATTGCATCTGTGTATCTGTTTGTGAGAGGTAATCCAATTTATCTATAATGCTTCATTCTCTGTTCCTGTCACATGCTCCCCAAATGGTTTAAAGGCCCATTTATCCTTTCAGATGTTTTGAAGATCAGCTCCCACAAGCCCCTATCATTGGCCATGCTGAGCAGGGCTGATAGGAATTGTAGGCTGAAGGTTCCTCACCAACGTCCTAAAGAATAAACTATGACACGTGCATGAGTAAAACACTATGATGAGGCATTCACATCATATAATTAACCATGTGTTCTTTATTTGTTATTTACTGGTCGAAATCCTGTTGTTTAGTTATGGATGTGGAAAGCTAACAGTGTAACTTTGGCTGCTTCCAGCTGGCAATTAATGAGTCGCTGTTGGGATTCCCAAGGCTGCCCACACCCATTGGCTCCGGCATGTGTAACTAAGAAGCACAATTTGGGCCTTTATGCAGTCATTTAAGAATATTTTATACTGCTTTTCATTTTTTTTAAAAAGTTCATAGTAATGCTTACATTGTTTAAAAAATAATAAAATAGGGCATTAAAAAGAAAAAGTAAGCAACAAGATTAACAAGCAAGATAATGCCAGGGCAAATAAGGTAACTCTTTAGCTGACAGTGAAGACACCGGGAGTCTGACTTACCTTTATGGGGTGATCATTTCCTACGGTGATGCTGGAAGAGAGGAGGTCTTGCTCTATAGCACAATCAAATGGATCTCAGGAGGCCATGTTACAGTAAGCAGAGACCTGTTTGCATAACCTGCAGACCATCATTGTGGGAGAAGCTGATCTCTCACATATGCTGATCCTGAGCTATATGGGGCCTCGTAAGCCCAAAGTAAGCTTTTGAATTTGCCTCAGCATTTAAACCAGCAGCCAGTGCCAACTGGGTTGAGGGAGAATATAGGGCTGGCCCAAATCCACTGGAACACTTCTGCTGGATTCTGTTGTTTCTGCCAGAATCTGCAAATTCTGTCCTCCCGCAGCTCGTCATGCCCCTTAGAAATCTGTTCTGGAGCCTGGGAAATCCTTAGCAGCACTTTTTTTTGGCACCACGATGGAGTGCAGCAGGCGTGGGAGCGAAAGAGAGTTCCAATGTTCTGGCTCTGGATAAGAAAGTACAGATCCTGGTTGCCAATTGTCATTGCAAATTTACCAGCTTTCTGATCACAAGGAGAAGTAGCTTAGCCTGTTGAGCTTAGCTTAACCAGACAACAGACTGATTGTACATGTAAAGTCATGGCCTAGCTTCTAGGTTCTGTCGGTGTACTCCCGGAGAGCCCACCTTCCCTATGAATGCCTCAACCCTTCTTTCTTTCTCAGATTCTTCATCGATCTGGTGCGTCCCTGGCATAAGAGTTGATGCGACAGAAGGCAGTGATGCATTGCTCCCATGCCTCATCACTGATCCAGAATTCACAAGCAGTGTGAGCCTTGTGAAAGACAGACGTCAGGTGACCTCAGCATTTTCTTTCAGTGCACGGGAAGGAATACGGCTGCACAGAGTAAACTTGAGTGATACAGGCTGGTACTATTGTCAAGCCCTCATTCGAGGAAAGTGGATGGACTCACGAAAAATTGCCCTTGCTGTTAGAGGTAGGTTTCAAGCAGCTATTTCTATTGTTTAATTGTGTGCATGCGTGTGTGGCACACACAAACACATATACAGCCAGGCATGTGTACACGCATTTTCAAGTCATTATTTTGACTATGGTTTACGGTATTACAAGGGTCTTGTAAGTCTCATCTTGAAGAATCTCACAACTTTGAGAGGCAGGCTAGCCTAAAAGTTTAGAATTCAAGGCTGCCCAATAATATTCACAGTCACGCAAGGAGATCCAGTGGAGATCCAGCCAAGCTGCAGATCCAGCGGATCCATGTCATTTTCCTTCCAGCCCACCACCATACTCAAAACATGTCTCTTTCCTGCCCCGAGGGAGCCACTCCAGAAGTTTCTGCAGAGGTTGTGAAAGACCAGGAGGAAGGTTCTAAGATCAGATCTCCTAACGGTGAAGTCCGTGCTTTGAGGCTCTCACAAGATGGATCCCTATCAAACCACAACCAGAGGCCTGATCTCCAAGTAGATTTCCAGAGATTAGATAACTGGCTTTAAAAAGTAAAGCTGCCTTAGGCCCATGCAGACTGAAGAAAGGAAGAATATAAATAAAGGGACGATTTAATGTATTGTCTTATGCTTTATTTATATCTTGCTTTTTCCCTCCAAAGTGGGGCTCAGAATATCTTGCAATCGGATCAAAAGCAGGTACAAACACAGAAGTTATTATGCTAATATAATAGCAATTTAAATAAATTGTAATATGAAAAGAGTTGCATTAAAAATCAATTTAGCAGCTCATTGATTAAAACAAAAAACAAAACCATAGCACTCATCTGCTAAAAAAAAACACAAAACCCTGTCTTAGCCACTGGCCAAGTTGCCCAAAAACTTTCCAAATAAAAAGGTATTTGTCTGCCAGCAAAGGGCAACAGGGAGAGAGCCAGCCTGCCAGTGTCTTTATTTTACAACTAGCACGTTTCTGACTGGTCAGTAAAAATGAATGTAATAAATCAATGTAGCCAACATGGCAGTAAAATGATCGAGGCTGAAACGAAGTGTGGAAAAGGCCAGCAAAGTGAAGCAGTAAAGGGTAGTAAAGGTAAAGGTAAAGGTTCCCCTTGACAATTTTTGTCCAGTCGTGTTCGACTCTAAGGGGCAGTGCTCATCCCCGTTTCCAAGCCATAGAGCAGCGTTTGTCCGAAGACAATCTTCCGTGGTCACATGGCCAGTGCGACTTAGACACGGAACTGTGACTTAGACACGGAACAGTAAAGGGTGAAGGGTGGCAAAATATAAAGAAAGAATACAAAGAATGTCAGATTTCATCTCTCAAAATGCTTGTCCCTTAAGCCAGCAAGTAACAGAAAATCTTGATTTTGTCCTAGAAATCAGTGTACCCGTGTCTGTCACCATCGCAACAGAAAACAATGTGAGAATACAAGGCGAACCTTTCAACATCACCTGCAAAATAAGTTACCCTTCCCACAAATATGGGACAAATTGGACCTATCCTCCCACCGCAAATGTGAGTCCTCTTCTAAGCTCTTTCAGATGGGCTGTTTGCTTGCTTTCTCTGATATGGCTCGGATAGGGGAGCCCCGAGATCAACCCCGTGATGGGAGAGAGCGGCTAGGCCGTGCATGTTGATGCGCAAGAGTGGGCCCAAGGAGGGCCACAGTTTGACACCACTGGGCTAGACTGTGCATGTTGTTGCGCAAGAGTGGGCCTAGTTGCATATTGACCTTGCAGGTTTGGTTTGGCTGAGCAGAAGGCCTAGCATTTTACATTTTGCTCCCTTTTTGATTGACTCTGCTTCAAGGAACGCTATTGACATTTACTGGCTTTGGTCTTCAAACCATTCTGTCAGCTGAATGTTCATTTCTATGAGATTTTCACCCAAGAGACCTGTAGAGGGCATGACAAATGACGGGAAGAAGCAACAGAAACACATGTAGGTGCTTTCTGCCTCTTTTGGCTTGGCATTCTGTCAGCTGAATGTTCATTTCTATGAGATTTTCACCCAAGAGACCTGTAGAGGGCATGGCAAATGAGGGGAAGAAGCAACAGAAACAACACATGTAGGTGCTTTCTTCCTCTTTTGGTTTGCTCTTCAGGCAGTTGTAATAGATAAAATAAAATAAAACAGTGGCCTATGCATCTAATGTGCTGTATTGTTTCTATCTTTCCTGCCCACAGGTCATTGAGAATAGTCGTGATAGTTTTGATGAAGCATCTAATAAATATATTACGGTCATCGTTCTATACACCCCAGCAGTACAGCTTCAAGACAGTGGGAATTATACTTGTTTTGGAAGCAGTTCTGCAGGAACCAGTTATTCTTCAGCTACGCTGCGTGTGATAGGTGAGCAAATCATGAGGGATGTGGAGAAAGAATGCCCTTCTTCCCTGCCATTTTCATATTGATTCCACCTAGTAGGATCATTCAGTTGGGACTGATATCAGCATTTTCTTGAAATGGCCCTCATTATCTTGGCATGATGAAGCACTCAATGCCTGGGGAAGATTTCTTTTAAGATTTTGAGAAAGCCACAGACCTCTTTCAACTCTTACTCTCTCAATAAAAGAAATTAATGAAAAGGATAGAGGCTCTTAAGGTTATAAGACGCATACTATAAGCTACAGCAAGAATAAATTCATTGATGAAATCCCTTTGGTTCGTTTCCTTCAAAGAGTTCTGCTTCCTTTAAACAGGGATGGTTAAATAATTAATACACTTTTTCTCAGGCTAGATGTAGCACTTGCTTGGATGTCTATAGACATTCACTGTGATATTTCTAGGCCCCTCAGGCCCAGCTCAAGGCATTTAGCTGAACAAGATTCCACAGGATAGCCCTCTTTGCATTCAGAGTATAGGAGCTGATTGGTCCATTTACTTCAACAGAGGTGAAGAGGCAGCATTGTCCATCACAGCAAGAGTTGGCAAGCTAGCTAAGGACTTTTTGGCAAGCTGCATGGCACACCTACATCTGCCTGTAGCAGCTTGTGGTCCAAGGGGTGTGTGTTGGGCTTCTTACCTCAATACAGTAGAGCAAAGTAGTTGCTTCAAAGGACAGGTCTCTACTTTATAAGTGGTTGTACATTTTCTTTTAAGTGTTCAGTACTCACTTCTGCAATATAAACTGTTCCTCCAGTTTGTTGTTACTTTTGAAGATATGGAATGTTCTTCTTCAGGAAAGCCCGCTGTTGCCTTGAATTACTTGTTCATGGTATGGAAAGGTTGCCCTTTTGTTACACTGTTTCCCAGTGAGTGTGAGAACTGGAGCTGTAATTAGGTTAGAGCAGTAGAGGCTGTGCTGCAGGGCACCAACATTTAGAGTGCACTCATATCTCATGGTGAATCTACTGGTGAGTTTTAGGAAAATAAATGGTGCCACCTCCCATCCCATTCATCCCCCTCCTCTTCTTTAAAAAACATATAATTTCTCTTTTGATGGGACACTACATTGATTGATTGACTGAGTGATTGAGTGATTGATTGATTGATTGATTGATTGAGTGATTGATTGATTGATTGATTGATTGATTGATTGATTGATTGATTGATTGATTGATTGACTGATTGACTGATTGATTGATTGATTGATTGATTGTATTTATATCCTGGCCATCTGGTCATTTGACCACTCTGAGTGGCTAACAACAGATAAAGATAAAACAATTTAAAATACAACAACAATATACAGCATTGGTAATCAGTTGCTCAAGGTGGAAAAGAAAACAGAAAAGATAAATCAAACAGTGGCTGGAGGGAAGACCTGCTTAAACAGCCAGGCTTTCAGTTGGCTTTTGAAAATGCCCACGAAGGGGCCATACGGATCTTGGGGGGAGTTTATTCCAAAGCCGAGGAGCCACTGCCAAGGCCCAGTTTCATGTCCTTTCCTTCCGGGCCTCCCTCGGCGTCAGGCTCCTCAGCCTCACCTCCTGGCTAGATCGAGTGATACGGGTAGATTTTGGTCGGAGTAGGCATTCCGCCATTCTCCCCCTCCTTGTTCATGGGAGTGAGGATCTATGCCTATGGGTAGATTTTGGTGGGAGTAGGCGTTCCGACATTCTCCCCATCCTTGTTCGTGGGAGTGGGGATCTATGCCTAAGCCTCACAAGCAGAATAGATGAGATGCAAGGTCACTTGGCATGGCAATCTAAATAGTAGTTATGGCTCTGGTGATCATCAGAGGCAGAAATGAGTCAGGTGTCCACCTGTGTGATTGGCTTCATTGGTTTGTTTTTTCAGGATTCACCCACTCTGGTGCATCCACTCACTGGAGCCCAGTGCAAAAGACAAAGGCATAGAATCATTTTAGAGCTGAAGAGCTGGAAGGGACCCTGTGGATCACTGAGTCCAGCCCCTGTCAAGGGAAGGAGGCACAGTGTGGGATTGAACTCCCAACCCTCTGGCTATGAAATAATGTTGAGCTAGGGAATTTGTTCTGAGCACCAGAATGGAATAGGACTTCCAGACCTTTCAGGTCCACACGTCAATCTGTTCCTAGTTTTCTTCATTTCAACAGTATAGTTAGGACATGTGAGGAGAAGGGACATCATCCCCCCCACAAGGAGAAATAATTCACCACTCTTGAGATGAGACTGCTTATAGGAGAGAGAGACCCCCACAAGGAGAAATAATTCACCACTCTGAGATGAGACTGCTGAGATGAGAGAGAAATCACAATATAGGATCTTTATTTTCCTCTCCTCCTTTTCAGAGAAAGGCTATTTATATTTGTCCACCATCCAGAAGAAAACCCAGGAGCTGAGTTTGCGTGAAAGTCTGGAATTGAAGGTGCTGATTGAGGCATATCCTAAACCTTACACATATGAATGGATACACATCAATCCATCAGAAAATCTCAGGAATAACACATACATTGGTCAGATGAGTTCTGGGAGCAACAGGTAAGGAACAGACTGTACTTGCTCCTTCCTGTGTGCTGTTCTATGGGATTGCTTTGGGACAAAAGAGCATGACGTTTCCCTTCTTGGATGGGGAACAGAACCACACAGAGTTACTCAGATGGCTGATAACATAGAACCAAGTTAATACCATGACATGTCAAGCAACATTCTCTGTGTCTCTGTTGTACTTGCATTGCACTCTTCCTCAGAGAAAGTCAGAACGATGACTGTGGTCTTACTGTTAGGATAAATGAAGTAGTCATCTCGAACAGAGAGACGGGGGGAGGGGGTCAGTATTGCAATCTGTATGTTGGGTTTGGAAAATTAATACACTTGACCATAAAACATCCAAAATTATAACACGTTTCAGAGATTGTGGGGAGATTCTTTATTCTAGGATATGAAGCTTGATGCCTCTCAACCTTGGACTGAAACTGAGAAAATAAGACTCTTTTCTCAGCACAGTGGGATTTCTCTGTGTGATTTCCCCCTCCCTGAGAAATCTTGTCAAATCTCATAGGATTTCCTGATCATTTTTCCTGAAAGAAATGCCAGTTTTGCAGGATTGTTACAACTTGTGTGCAGTGGTATCTTCCCTGCATAGGATTCACCTGGAAAGGGAAAAAAAAACTTTGAACCAGCAAAGGATTGTTGCAGTTCCTATGCAGAATGCTATCTTTCCTATGCAGGATTCACCAGAAATTAAGCTACACAGGATTTGGCAGTTTCCTATGCAGAACAAAACATGCAAAATGAAAACGGAGGGGGGGGGGGATAGAAAGCCAGGAAACCTTGGTGCAGGGTGAAGTCCTGGGTGTGTGTGTCTTAAAATAGTGAGACTTGGAAAATTGCCAAGAATGAGAAACGTAGTGAGTACTTGTTATTCTACTACCTCCTGAACATATTTAAAAAGTGAGATTTGGAAAATTGCCAAGAATGAGAAACATAGTGAGTACTTGTTATTCTACTAGCTCCTGAACAGATTTTATATTTGTTTATTTTGGAAGGTACAACAATACACTCAAACTAAACCATGTAGAGGAACATCACAGTGGATTGTATACTTTTTTTGCTGATAATGGTGAAGCCAGTGCATCCATAACTTTCAACATTTCAGTCAAAAGTAAGTGCTTTGTCCACTCAGTTCCTTCCACTTCAAGACCACTAGTAAATGTGAGCACAGCCAGCAAACCAAAGGCAATCTTTCTGTAAGGAGATGAGGTACTGCAAGGCAGCCTTCAGAAGTACCTCAGGTGAACAAAAGTAGGTTACAGTCTTTCATAATAACATAACTACTAGACTTGATTTTTCTTAGGTCCTCGAACTAGGGAAGTATAACAATTAACAAGGACCAAGATCCACTCATGAACTTTATCCAAAGTACCCTTTCTTAGCAGAGTCTGAAACTATCTGCAGAGATAGAAAATCTTGTCTGCATCCATGCCCGGGTATAGAAATGGCTGGGTACAAAACAGCTAGAATCCAAAACCCACATCTGAGATATTTATATTGTCCCCCATATTTCAAGTCCCACTATGTTTTAGGATACAGGTTTTTTTTTAAACAGTTGGATTTGAAATTAAAAATATGTGTTCATACGGTTGCTGTACTTAACAGTTCTTCTGCATATGCTCTACAGTTCCAGCTAAAGCGAAACTGAAAGTCAACAGCTCTGACAGCTTGTGGTGTGAAGCGAGTGGTTACCCTGCTCCACGTATTGAGTGGTATAAATTGCCTCACAGTCATAATTCAGACAGGTGAGTTAACAGACAGTTGATGGCATAATCCTGTGGCTGACTGTTACATACAAAGTAAGGACTGCTAAATTCATTGAGACCTTCTCCTTGGTGAATATGTGTTTATGGTTGCCTCCTTAAGATATCACATACACAGATACACAGACATAATACAGACGTACATTTCTGTAGACATCCATTCCTCTGGCCACCAGGAAGTTCTCTAATTATAATGAGTCAGAATCAGATTTTTTTTTTTGAAACAACAGTGGTTAAAACATGAGTGGGACGTTTGCTTGGGACTTAGGGCTGGATGCCACACCCCCAGCACCTCTCCAATTATAATGAGTCAGAATCAGATTTTTTTCAAACAGTGGTTAAAACATGAGTGGGACATTTGGTTGGGACTCGGGGCCAGATGACACACCCCCAGCACCTCTCTAGGGCACTAGGCCCCAAAATGGAGAAATATGTCCAGAAAGAGAAAGAGAGAGACTATGATGCTTTGATTTGTGTTTAAGAGAGAGAGAGAGAGAGAGACACTAGAATGCTTTGATTTGTGTTTATTTGTTTGTCTGGTAATGAGCTCCTGTACTTGTCAGGAGCAAGTACAAAAACCACTACTCACGCTTATCAACAGGCCATTTTTAAAATGTTTTCCACCTCTGGGCCTCTCGAGGGCGCTGTAGGACTTCAAATTTGCCTGGAGGGCCTCATGCAGCCTGTAGGCCATACTTCACCCATCTATGGGTTTGAGTGACAGACTGGGAGATCCAGGTTCAAGTCCCATTATGCCATGGAGGCCATTGGATGATCTTAAACCAATTGCTTTCTCTTTCTGCATTGCTGCCTCACAGGGTCATTACTGTGAGGAAAAAGAGGGTGAGGAGGAAAGCCAGGTATGATGACTTGAACTCACAAAACAGAAGGGGAATATAAATCTAATTCATAAATAGATAAATCAAGGGGACAGGAAAAGTATGAATTTATTTGGGAAGGCAACTGAGCACCAATAACATTTGGTACATATATTGATACCCCTCTGGTCCATGGGGTCACGAAGAGTCGGGCACGACTTAACGACTAAACAACAACAACATATATTGATAAGGCTTTTGGAAGGTGACCTGCTGCTATTTTGTTGGTGTTTAAGATGTCCATTCCCATTCTAAGTCTGCCAAGTGTTGCTAGTCCGTATGATTTAAGAGGATTAGACCAGGAACTAGTAACAGCAAAGCAAACCCTTGCCCTAGGAAAAACTATTTGGCACCTGGGTATTATCACCGAAGTTGGACAAGGAGAACTGAAATGTGAATGGTCTGGCATACTGATCCCTAAGTAGGCTATCTGGCAAACCAGTCAGTCAATGTGACCCACACCTTACCCATTCATGTAGAGGAATGAAACCATGCTCAGACAGACCAACTAACCAGTAAAGCTACTGGCATAAGACTACCTGTAAGCTTCTTCATTCTCTAACAGATGCAATCAAGGTGGAATGCTGATCGTGAATGACACTAGTCCACAGATTGTGAGTGAAATTCCCTTTGGAAGAGTGTCATTGATAAGCTTGCTCAGGATTACGGAAATGGAGGGCAACGAGACCTACTGCTGTTTTGCAATTAATAATGCTGGAAATGAATCCAGTTATGGACCATTATTTCTTCCTGTTAAAGGTGAGATAAATCTAAGCATTTCCTTGACAAAAAATTGGCAAATAATTTCTTATTTTGGAAATGAATCCAGTTATGGACCATTATTCCTTTCTGTTAAAGGTGAGATAAATCTAAGCATTACCTTAACAAAGAATTTCTTATTCAGTGGCATCTCCTTAAATTCTGACAGTGATTGCATTTATATTGAAGGAAAGGGTACATGCAAACTGTTTAGCCAAAAAAGAGATGAATATACAAACAAACATTTTTCAATGTACATTTCTTGTTCATTAAGTAGTAGTGTATGTTCATTTCTCTTTTCATAAAAGAAAATGAACATACAAATCCCCTTATATTCCCCCCTCCATGTTTCATTCTTCCGTAAGAGACCAAGCTTTCTGTTGCCTATAACTTTGAGATCCCACTGGATAGCTCAGTGAATTAGCCACCTGGCTGTGGAGGTCAGGAATATCTTACTGCACCTTTTAAGAAAAGAGCCAGGCTATTTAGCCTTGGGCAAGCTGCACAGAGCAGCTCCATAAGAAGCAAATGGTAGTGCTTCTGAGTACTTTACAGCTGAAAAACCTCACAACGGGTCATCATATGTTGGAACTAACCTGATAGCACACATTGTTGTTGTTCAGAAACGACAGGCACAGTCAACATTATAAAAATATTGACTGGTATTATATAACAGATACAAGTTATAACCCAAATTTTAACCCAAAACCAAGGTATCTGTTAAATATCAGTGCAGTATATACGCTGTTCCTAATATTGCCTTTTTTGTAGCTCTGATGGTATGATTTCTGATATTTGCAACTGCTTATAGTACTGTGTAAAATTTATTGATATTGTTCCCAAAGCCCCAATGACTATGGGGACCACTGAAGTGTGTTTCTTCCAGAGGCGAGGTGTTTTGATTGACAGGTCTCTGTACTTTGTTAGTTTTTCCAATTCTTTCTTTTCAATTCTGACAACCCTTGGAGTTGCAATGTCAATGATCCAGACATTTCTGCATTCTATTACTACTATATCTGGTATGTTATGTTGTCGATGAGAGGGATTTGGGTTTTGGGACCATGGGCTAAGCTTCCTGGAAGAAGGACTGCTAGCAAGAGACTGATTGCATTTAATAAAGACTGGGAAGAATGTGTTTGCCCACAGCATGAAGAACTTAATCAGGAGGGATTTAAACTGAATTGGAAGGGGGAGGGAGACACAAGCACAGAGTTAAGGGTAGATGAAACCTTACACACAATAAGAGGAATGGATCAAACTGATCAAAAGTTCAACAAAAATAATATTAACAATAATCATCACAATAATAATCATTACAATAATCATAATAATATTCATAAAAATGTACAAAGACAACAGGCCACAAATCACACAACCTCCAGTCTCTGTATACAAATGCCAGGCGTATGAGAAACAAACAAGTAGAGCTGGAAATTTTAATTCAGGAGGGTAACTATAACTTGAAATGAATAACTAAAATTTGGTGGGATGACTCCCATGACTGGATTACAACAACTGAGAGATATAAACTCTTCAAAAAGAACAGAGAGTATAAAAAGGGAGGTGGATTTGCAGTAAATGTCAAAAATACTCATTCCTGCACAGAAATGCAGCAGGAGAAGATTGGCTGTCCCATCGAGAGCATCTGGATCAATCTAGTTGGGGCAAAAAACAAAAGGAACTTGGTAGTTGGAGTCTACTACCGACTGCCCAATCTGCCACTCCATCATGTTTCGCTCCATATTCTTGTCTGCACAATCTTTCAACATTCACGAATGAGGTGTGGCACAATTTCATCTCTCTTTTGGCAGAGTTGACATTTGCTGTTTAGCTTTCAGGACATTAGTTTGGAGTGTTTGTTGTTGTGCAGCAAGAATCAAGCCTTTGGTTTCTTTCTTGATGACCCCCCAGTTTTATCCATGCCCAAATTATTGTTGTTGTTCTCCATGTTTCTCAGGTAGTGGATCAGTACTAGAATTGCTGTTTCAAAGAGCAAAGGAGGGAGGAAGTTTAGTTCAGTATGCAGAAGGAAAAAAATGTTCAGGGTTCTTTTTTCTAAAGTCTCTTTTTCCCCGTCGTCCAAGATACAGACTGAAGGATTTAGTTGTTTTGAGGAATGCTCCAGCATATCTGGTCTACCGGCAAACATTATTTTCTTTGGCTTTTCATTTCCTCCAGGAGAGAATGGCAACCTGGGCCTTACCTCCAAAACAGTTATTATTGCCTGGGCAGGAACAATGGCTTTTCTCCTTCTGTGTATCATCATCTTATTCTACAAATACAAGCAGGTACGCTATGTGTGTATCAAGGTTGAAGAATATCTTCTTGGATACCATGACCAGTCAATGGGTGTGGAAACTGGCAATCTGTCAATATCTGGAAGGCTTCATGTTCTATGGAAGGGAAAGTAGTGGCTAATGTCTACAATGAATGCAATTTGTTGTGTTTTTAGTGTTTCTTGTTCTAACATTGTGAGCCACCTTGAATACCCTTACCTGGAGAAAAGCAGCCTGCAAATTATATAAAATGAATGAATGAATCTCCCTCCAAATTCCCTATTCTCTTGTAATTCTCTCTGAACCCATCTCTTCCTGCCTCAGTCTCCATAGATTCAAGGACCTTCAATTACTGAACCTCTTTAACTATTTATAAACAAGGAGTCACTACAGAGAACCTGCAAAATTCCCATTTTGGACACCAGCTTTCAGACTCTTCCCATTAGCCTGCCCATCCCAATACTGGAAACTTTTAAACTCCAACATTGATTCCTTCACAACTTGTAAGTCTTGTGGTCCAAAAAAGCTGATCCATTGCCATTTTTCCCTGCCTTTTTACAACAGCCATCCTGTAAGGCATGAATTTGACCAGAGAAACATTTTGGTCCAGGTTTCCTCCCACTCTGAAATAAAATCACCTACTTTATGCAGTGTGGTGTGATGGTTAGAGTGTTGGATAAGGACTCAGACCTGAGTTCATATCCCTGCTTGGCCATGGAAACTCACGGGGGCCTGGCGCTGGTAAAACCACTCTTTAAATATCTGACCAGGAACCCTTTTAGGGTTTCCACAAATTGGAATTGCCGTGATAGCTTATAACACACGTATCTCATGCATATACAGTACAGGCATAGATTGAAAGCAAGAAAGAAATAATGAGAAGTTTCTTGCACAAGAGGCAGAAGGTAAGAGGCTGAGGTACAGTTGTTGTCAATCTGGAGAAAACATACAGATAATACTTGACCCAAGTGAGCTTTTAAAAGTCTACAAACGTTCCAGCTATTGCAGGCACTTGTAACTCTGACCAGCAATCTTGTCAACTTGCTTTGGATTTGATTTCAAGAGGAGGGTCTCAGTCAGTTAACACAAGACCTCCCCAAAAGCTGGCAAGTGGATCCTCAGGTGGATGTTTTAGGGAACAGATATAGCCCTACAGTTTACTCTGTCATAATGGGAACAGGAAAAGCAACAGTAACTTAGTGAACATTTAGAGCTCACTAAGTCACCAAGAGGCTGACTACCTGGGTATTTAGCCCACTCTTCTGTCAGCTGCAGACATGGGCCAGTGCACCCTTAAAGACAGTGATCAGACAACATATTTGCTGGAGTCAACCATCCCACCCCAAAAGTGGTCCTACTGGCACCTTTCTGTTCCCTACCAGAGCAGTCTACTTTTTAGTGCTTTTTTTGGTGAGAAGATCTACCTGTTAAACACAGATATAGCCCTACAGTTTACTCTGTCATAATGGGAACAGGAAAAGCAACAGTAACTTAGTGAACATTTAGAGCTCACTAAGTCACCAAGAGGCTGACTACCTGGGTGTCAGACCCTGTCTTATTTTTGGGAAAACATGGTAACTGGTAATATACATATCTAATGCTATTTTTGTACTGATGCAGTACATATTCACAGCTTTTCGTACATACTTTTAAAATACATTTATTTTCACTGCCTCCATCCCTCCACAGAGCTGAGGAAGCGTTTAATCTGCCAGTATCATGAAGTGGCTCTCTTCTTAAACCACTTAATGATACTGGCAAATTGACAGCAGGTTGGTGTGGACCAAAGAAGTTCATCTGGGTGTGAGGACCGCACCCCAGTGGCATGCCAGGGCTCTTGTTGCTGTTATTAGGTGACATCAGGTCAGCACCAACTAACAGCAACCCAAATAGGGCTTTTCAGGTAAGTGAAATACTTAAGGAGTATGTTATCAGTTACACTCCCCCAGCGGAAATTTGAGCCTTGGTCTTCAGAGTCTTAATCGTTCACTCTAATCACTACACCATACTAGATATCAACCCAGATCTCCCTGTGACCCTCTTTAGGGACCCTATCTAACCCTATCTAACCTGGCCATGTAGGTAAACCCTTACTCCCAGCTAAAATGCAAGCTGAAATTCTTATAGAATGAACAGGAGTGAAATGTCCACTTATACGACCATACAAAAATTCTGTGAAAAATCTGTGTTTGAGAACTATTATTTTTGTTTCTGTTACAGAAACCCAAGTACCAAGTCCACTGGAAAATAATTGATGACTGCGATGGAAACCATTACACTTTCATTGATCCTACCCAGCTTCCATACAATGAGAAATGGGAATTTCCCCGGAACAACTTACAATTTGGTAAGAAGCCATTCTAGCCTGCTCTCCTCCAGTCTTCCTGTACTATCCTCATCGGCTGATGGTCAAAATTAGGGAAATGTTAGCAAATGTAATAAGGAATGACTATTTAATTGAAGGTATGGGTGAAAATAATAAAATAAAGATTAATTTATTTGCTGATGATTCCCTATTGACAGTGAAAACCCCATTAAAAAGTATAGATAGAATTAAGTCATTTAGAAAAATGTGGAAAAATAACTGGATTATGTGTAAATTGGCAAGAATCTGAAATAATGTTGTTTAATCATAATAAACTAGAACAAAAAAAGTTTGTTGATAAATCAGTTAAATATTTAGGTATAGATTTAGTAAAAGATACTCAAAAAATAAAGGAACATTATAATAAATTGAAAGGAGATATTAAAAAGAAACTACAGGAATATACTAATTTTAAACTTTCTTGGTTTGGAAGGATCGCACTGATAAAAATGAAGATTCTACCAAAAAGTAATTTTCTATTTGGAATGTTACCAATACAGTTAACAGAAGATGATTTTAAATTTTTGGCAAGGAATGATTAATAAATATTGTAATGAAGGGAAGAGAGCCAGAATAAATAAAAAGTATTGGTATAAAACAACAAAAAAGGAGGTATAGGCATACCAAATATTTTAAAAAATTATTATTTGGCTAATCAGTTGAGGTTTATTGGGGAAATTATATATAACCCAGAAAGGTTAATTTGGTGGAAAATGGAATCATCAGAATTACAGGTAGATATTGAAATATATCTATTTGGTATCATTAAGAAATATAAAATAGGTGAAATTAGTAACCCGTTTTTACAGACTATGTTAAACATCTGGTACAAGTATAGAAAGAATTTATGTCCGTTTAACTCTCCATTAGGAATAGTGACTGAAATAGAGAATTTTCCTGCCGATATGAAAGTTTATGCAGAATTATTTAAAGAAAAAAGTGATTAGATTAAAATACTGGTTGTATAAAATGAGATCGAAAGATCAAATGTTTCCATGTGTAAACTCTCCTGCTTTTCTTTATAATGGCACTATTGACTTTGAAGTGCTTGGGATCTGACAGAATTTGCCAAAGAATGCAAGATAAAAAATCCATCTTTGGCTTCCAGGTGATGACGACTAGAAAATATACCACTAAAAGCACCCCCACCAGAAACACCTGCTTGCATGTCAGAGAATCAAAGTTTCAAAAACAAGCAAGCAGACAGACAGACAGATAGACAACCTTTCCTCCTGGTTCTGCTCTCAGCTTCTAAACGTTGCCTTTGCTTTCACAGGAAAAATCCTGGGAGCTGGAGCTTTTGGGAAGGTGATCGAAGCCACAGCCTTTGGGCTGGACAAGGAAGATTCAGTCACAAAAGTGGCTGTAAAAATGCTGAAATGTAAGTGATGGGCAGGTAGAAGAGGCCCTGCCAGGCAGGAGACGGGAAAAGAGGGCAATACACAAGAGGAAAGAAAAACAATCAAAGAGAGGCAAATAGGGTCCATGGGATATTCAAAGGCGATTCACCCCTTCAGGTTTTTTCCCCTCTATAACTCCAAGTATGGGATATGTAGTCTTTTCCCAGGAACTGAGGGTTTCTGAGAAAATACAGCTGAACAATATTGGTGCTTCAGGAACAATGGTGTCATCTGAATGTGGCCCAGATGTTCAGGTGAAAGCAGCATATTTTAGTAGTTTGTGGTGTCATATTCTGCATGGTGTAGAAATGCATCCTTCTCAGAGACCTCATATTCTCTTACAGTTTTAGCTTGAAGAGTACATTTTCCCTTGTAGAGCATTTCCCATTGAGGTGACTGGAGAATACATAACTGGACAAAAGAAAATAAAGGGAAAACCTAGTAAACAAAGCCCTTCTTTGCAATTAGTATAGGTAAAGGTAAAGGTTCTCCTTGACATTTAGTCTAGTCGTGTCCAACTCAAGGGTGTGGTGCTCATTCCATTTTCCAAGCCGTAGAGCCAGCGTTTGTCTGTAGGCAGCTTCTGTGGTCACGTGGCCAGAGCGATTAGACACAAAACGCTGTTACCTTCCCACCAAGGTGGTACATATTTATCTACTTGCATTTTTACATGCTTTCGAACTGCTAGGTTGGCAGGATATAGTATAGGAGTAGCTGCAAATCAGACAGCATTAAGAGCCGCATTCTCTTGGTTTCAGCTACAGCACATACCGATGAGCAAGAAGCCCTCATGTCAGAGCTGAAGATCATGAGCCACCTAGGTCACCATGAAAACATTGTCAACCTGCTGGGAGCATGTACGCATGGAGGTAATAAGATTCCTGGCATTATTCCATTTGGGATCTCCTGACTCTTCACCATTCTTTTGTCAGTCTCTTAGCAGTCACAGATTTTTTAAAAATTAAGATCACCATCACTGCCATTAGTTTCTTATTTGAAGATGCCAAATGCTAGCTGGTAGAGGTCCTAAGTGTTAGCTTGCAAAGGCCTTAAAAGTTGGCATTCCAGAGCTGACAATGATAGCATGCCAAATACTCAAGTGGTCTGGCATTAGTGAGCAAGAGCTACAGAGACAGGATACTCCAGTGGGATAAGAATGTTAGATCTTCTTTGACAAAAAAGGCAAGCTGTCCAGCATGTTTGGGTCTGTTTCCATTGGACTGATCCACTCTATGTCCTCTTCCTTCTCTTTTTGGTACCACACCTTTCATACAGTACCCAAGAACTAAACTGAATGATCAGAAGAATGGACTGCATAAATATCTTCCTCATAATGTGGTGTGGTTCTTGCCTGCCTCTTCATACCACTTCAGGATGCTAGTACGATAGCCAAGCCCTGTTGGAACTCCCCTGGCATAGAATCAGTCCCACAGAAAACAAGCATCAGGGGACATTTTGGGGTGGATAAGCTTGGGATTTGCCTGGGGGTGGGGAGGTTTGGCCACAAGCTGAGCTTGGTGTTTGGTGAGTTCCCTATCTACAGTGAACTGGACTGTGGCAGTGGGCAGTCAAGGTCTCTAATCTGTTTTTGAAAGTTGTACATCTTGTTTGGGTACTGGAAGTCCACCAACTCCTTTCATTTTCTTTGGTCTATTATTCATTCTAGATTAAGTGTGACACAACTGTTAACATACCAATAAGCATGGCAAAGACAGGAAGCCTTTAAAAAAAAAGGTGTAAGTTGATGAGGGAGCAGGTTGGTAGTGGCAGTGAAGGCACTCCTTGACCAGAACGTTACTTCTTCTGGTTACTTCTCCCCTTGACAAGCATGTCTGGGGAAGGAGGTATTATGGAACCCTGTTGCCATTGTTAAAGATGTCTTTACTCAAAAGCTTTTTGCTGACTGTGAATGACTTGAGGAGGGGCATGGGCTAGTTCTGCATAATCCTTGTCCATCTGATATTTTTATTTGCTCATCTATGTTGCTTTTCCACCAGAAGGAAAAACAGCACCTTGAGTTGTTAGTCATTTTGGTAGGAAAAAAGCTAGAGGAGGAAGAGTAAAGCAGGCAATGTCACTTCATTCCTTCACTTAGTCTTGCATCATTTTGAGGTTTCCTTGGGTTTTAAAAAAAGAAAAAACTAGAGGAAAGTAACATGCAAGTGGGGTGGAACATGTACAGAGGTTTAGACTGACAAAAGTCATAGTCATATAGCCTTGTTTGACTAAAATTATTACTAGCAGAATCTGAATATACTTTCATGTAATGTTTATTTTTTATTTTTTTAGGCCCCGTCCTTGTCATTACTGAGTATTGTCCTTATGGGGACTTGCTGAATTTCCTGCGAAAGAAAACTGAGTGCCTCATAATCCAGGATTTAACCTTGGATTCTACCATTGATAACACAGCAGCTGACTACAAAAATATCTATCTTGGGAAGAAATACATCCAAAAGTAATAATCTAATCTGGTCATCACTCATTCCCTGTTACAGGATGTAAAACCCTCATGAATTATGTCTGTATTTCCAATCTAGTACTTGTTAAGGATTACATTCATAAATTTTCAATTATGTGCACGTACCTTCTCTCCTATGCACATAGGCATACATCAAATGTGCAGCAAGAGAGAGAGAGATACAAACATCACTTTGTAAACTGAAAAGCACCAGGATTGATGTTTCTATTTTGTACCAGGTGTATGATCTGGGCTCTTCATCTTAGGAACTAGCCCAACAGGCCAAGTGCCTTTCCTCCAAGTTTATTGGAACTTGGCCCAAACAAGGCTTTCTCACTTGAAGGAAAATCAGCCATAAACATGATTCACAGAAGAAAAGAACTGGTTCCCATATTCTGTGGCATCTTACCCCTCACATATGGTGTCTTTGCTTTCTTGCAATGTTGTAGGGAATTCACACTTGGTGAAGTACAGTACTTGCTTCCCAGAGGCAATGAGACTGAGACTTAGCATCCGTAAACCCATTCCCGGAATGTCTGCCAACCCTTTTAGACCTTTACTCCATTTTTTGGCTTTAACCCAATAAACACCCTCCAAGTTGCCCAGAAGATGCAGTAAAGCTCTTGTGTAGCCAGGATGACAGATATACATTGTTAGTAACTTTTCTTTCTTTTTCCTCTCTGACTCAGTGACAGTGGATTTGGAAGCCAGTGTGTGGAAAGCTATCTGGAAATGAGAGCAGTGACAACATCAAACCTTATGCCTGGAAAAGGTAAATAATCAAGAAAAAAATGGGCTTGCCTCACAAGAGAGCCACTGCCACTCACGGAGATGTAAGGCTTGTTCATTATATTTCTTCCCCTAAATAGATGCAGTGTACCTTATGGGGCCCCCTATTAATCCTCACAACAGTCTTGTGAGGCATGCATAGCTAGGGGGTTGTAATGCTGTAATTGTTATAAGCTGCCCAAAGATCTTTGGGTAGTGTGGGTGGCATATAAGTTAAATAAATAGATAACGGCCCCAAATCACCCAAAGTGCTTTGCGGTTGAGGAGGGATTATGATCTCCCTAGCCTGAGTGTAGTACACTAGTCCATAAACACACTGGCTTCTGTGTGATGTGTATAATTACACTTGGTATGGGAAAGGGGCATAGGGAGATGTTTTTCTTCCCCTTTCACAAAAAATTAAGATTGAGGACTATCTTTTAAAATTGGCAATTCAGAACTGATACAAGCAAGGTACATTTTCACATAACACAGTGATCAGTACCAACATGTTTGGACTCAAACACATCATTAGACCAATTCACAAAAGACCTGGTGATCACTGGCTACTCTTCATGATGGCTGTATAATTCCTCTGTTGTCAGAGCACAATTATGTCTGAAGGACATAATTATATAAACTGTATAATTATAAATTATATAATTATATAATTAAAATGAAATTATATAAATTATATAAATCATAATTATATAAACTGCCCAGGGCCAGCTGCCAGATGGGTGGTGTGTATATATATATATAGATGGGTGGTGATTGATATATATGGCAGCCAGGCCTGGGCAGCTTAAATACGTTGGGAGGCTAATAGGCCTGCAGTAGACATATCTTTTGCCCAGTACACCTCCTCTAAAACTCTTGTACTGCTGCTTATACTTGTCCTAATAATAATAATCCATCAGCACAAACTTTTGGTGTGCCTGTCAGCTACACAAGTACATTCTGGTAAAATAATAGGAAGAATTCCATAGCAGTGAGAGGTGTAATGACAGGGTAATGGACTATCTTAGAAAGTGGTGGGCTCTCCTTTCTCAGAGGCTTTCACTGGGTAGCTATCTGTCAGAGATGCTCTAACTGTGGATTCCTGCATTGGCAGGGAGTTGGGTTAGATAGTCCGTGTGGTTCTTTCAGCTGTACAGCTCTATGATTCCTGTGGAAGGACCTCAGAACAAAGAGAGCATCAACTAGGTCTTTGTGTGCTAAAGAGTCCAACTATGGCAGTTGTACAGAAATACAATGTTGTGAACATATGAAAGGAAAGGAAAACATCTAGCCCTGCTAGATTATTGACCTAAACTGCTTACCAGCTTATCCTTAGCTATTGCTTGCTCATGCAACAGCGTGTGCAACACTTTTTCAAGCTTCCATCATTTTCAGGACCACCTTTGGAAATCCTGTTCAGTGTGGTCTTGTCTAAGCAAAGGGAATTATGGCCTTGGCAGCGGCATATTGCCACTGGGTGAAGACTTCCTTTTGCAATGTTTCGGTGCACGCGGGTCCTTTGGATTCTGGGCAAGCCCACCACCCTCACTGTCCTGAAGACTCCCTTTCCACAAACATTGCTAGCCCTGTTCTGGAATGTTTGAGATTTCTTATTTAAGGCAGTCTCTGTATTACATTTCATTGACTGACCAAAAACAAACAAACAAACCACCAGAAAACATAAAAGCAGAAACAGAAACTTCAGACTACTGGAATCCTCCAAATGGTAAAGGCTGGTCTGGCAAAAATTGTCAGCACTTCTTATTCTGAAACTTGACACACTATTCCTGCTGATCTTATCCAGCTTTGGAAAAGGAAAGAGAAAGAGAGAATGCAAGTATTTTTGGAAAAAAAAGACGTATCAGCATTTCAAAGAATGAAGAATGCAAGAGCTTGTGCCAATTTGTCTGAAATCTGGCAAGCACAGGATATGCTTGCAAATGACCTCCCACAGGAAAAAATATAGAGCGAATTGTTGATGTCCAGTGGTTGTGAGTTGGAGGTAAAGAACAGTTGGATTTCTGAACTGACATTCCTAGCTGGAACCAAGGAAAAGTGGGCAATCTCCAGACTGAACCAAGCCTAACTGGGTTGTTTTCCAAATTGCTAAACCAAATTGTTTAAACTGAATCCCGATACGCTGATTATAACACAGGTAGCTTCAGATTCAAAGCATCACCTCTTCTTGCTTCAGATGTGGGCCTTTTAGACAGGATTCTATTTTTATGTCCTGACTGCTCAATTTCATTCATCTTCTTATATTAGAGCTAAGGTTCAGTCAGTGTTCACATTTAATATATCCTGCTGGAGAGATGCCCTTTGATGTTCACCATGAGCTTCTTCCTCTCCCAATTCCAGGGAGGAGCTCAGTGGTAGGAGAAGAAACTGTGGACAGCCATCCTCTTAGCTTGGACGACCTGCTGCAATTCTCCAGCCAGGTGGCTCAGGGAATGAGCTTCCTTGCATCAAAAAACGTACGTATGCCCTCCTCCAAACAGCATGGTTCATTTCCAAAGCTGGTTCCAGGACGAGATGGGTCTGACACCTCTGGAGGGCAACAGGCTTGGGAAGCTTGTTGTAGAATAATAGAATGATGTCTTCCTCCCCCAGCTTGTGCCTTCCTCTTTTCTATAACCAGCACAGGTAGTGTTGCACATATTTACACATTACTTCAGTGGTTTAGCTTCTGGGAAAGGGGCACACAATGTAACTGTATGTTATTTATGCCTCCCAGATATTTCAGCAGTAGGAACTGAAAGTGACCGTTTCTGACCCACCACGTTATAAATATAATTGGCAAATGCAGTCTAAGCTGGCACTTGATTCTAGCATAGCTTGTAACAAACTGCAGTCAGTAGTGGAACCTAAAGGCAGAACTGGAGGCTTCCGCAAGAGAAGGAAAGAAGAAAGCCATTTGAGTTTGCAAAATGGAAAGGCAGTTTAAACATTGGGCGGTTCAGCACAGAGCTTGGAAAAGTCATTTTTATCCAGCTGCCAGAATCCCCCCGCCCAAGCTGGCTAAGGGATTTGGGAGATGTAGTCCAAAAAGTATATTTTCCAGGTCTTGGTTGCATGGAATGAATTGCAGTCAAGCATTAAATCATTCCTCTTAAGAGACCTTGGGGATTTCAACTCAACACTGCAGGGAGTCAATGGTCTGGGCCACACTTTCCCCATCTTTAGGTGAGAGTTTTGTTGCATGTTGCTATCCTTTGGTGATGCACTCACAAAGGTGTTCAACAAGCAGTCTTCTACTGTCATAATGTCAAGAGACTGATTGATTGATTGATTGATTGATTGATTCAATCAATCAGTCTGTCTTTCTCCTTAAAAGGACCCAAAGTGGCATAAGAGACTAGTACTCACTTTAAGCTGGCACAAAAAAGCTAGAATGCATGAACCTTGAGGAATTCTTGTCCATGAATTCATAACCTCAGGATACATGAAGGAGGCATAAAAATACTCAGCAGAGTCTAGCTGACCAAGGCTGTTGGCCTTGGCCTTATAGTTGAGGAGTGAACAACACACAAGCTGCTTCCACCACTCAAGTTTGGTGACAGCATATAAAACAAGCTGTTCTATTTAGAAAAGCAATTTCTGTGTTGAAATAATAGGAGCAGGGAGCAAATGTGCTGTTTAGGAGCTTAATTGTTCTCCTGAGAGCTTTCAGAAAGTGTGAACTGGCACGTACCCCCTGTGTACCTTGCTAGAATGTAGAGATCATTTTTCTCAAAGTAAAAAAATTGAGCTTCTTTTTGCCATGGGGGGGGGCTGTGGTCTCCAGGGGACCAAGGAGATTGGAGTGCAACCCCCCACACGGCAGGCTGTTGTAGAGAGAGCTAGATGCAACAGTAAACTGCTGATTGAATAAAACTACAACATGGGTTGAGGCCGGCATGCTACTGCTCAACATTTTTTTTATGTTTCTATGATTATGTGTTGAAACAGAAGTCAGCAAGAATGACCAAAGTGCCATTTGTTTTGCTCTGTTCAATCCAGTGCATTCACCGTGATTTGGCAGCAAGAAATGTGCTAGTGGCTGATGGGCGAGTGGCCAAGATCTGTGACTTCGGCCTGGCGAGAGACATTATGAACGATGCCAACTATGTTGTCAAAGGCAATGTAAGTAACTGGGATGGCAGGGTGCGCTGGACGCACAGGGAACTGCTCTATGCCAGGTGAGATCACTGGCCCATCTGCCTGCTGTCTACACCAGTTATTCTCAACCTTGTGTCTCTGGTTCTCATTGGACTTCAATCACCAGAAGCTCACCCTAGTCCAAGTACGGCCAACAGTGAGGGGTTCTAGGAATTGTAGTCCCAAGCATCTAGAGATCCAAAACTGAGAACCATTTATCTACACCGGCCATCCCCAGCTTTGTACTGCAGACTTCATATTGCCCAGTTAGCAAGCATCCTGATTGGGGATTATGGGGACTCTAATCCAACACATCTGTAGGGTATCCAGATGGTGGAACGCTGGTCTGTTCTCACTGAAAACAGCAGCTTTCTTTAAGTTTCAAGTTTCTGTTGCTTCCTGGAGATGCCTATTATTCAACCGGAGGCCGCCTGTAAGTCAAGCATGTCTTCTTCCACTGAATTATGGTCTCTTCTTCCCATAGAGAGATAAGTGAAATAGCTGGTGAAGGTTACCGAATGACAAGTGGCTCAGAAACCAGCAGCCCGGCCCGAAATCAATATATGTACATACTCCGAGCTAATTAAGTTATTTCTTTGTGATTCCAGGCTCGCCTGCCAGTGAAGTGGATGGCACCAGAGAGCATCTTTGAGTGCGTTTACACAGTACAAAGTGATGTGTGGTCTTACGGCATCCTTCTCTGGGAAATATTCTCCCTAGGTAGGAAAAGAACCATTTAGTCATTCATTGTTCTACATGGAAAGGCCTCTCTTAGACATTAGGTTTGGGTGAAAATCTGGCTGGGGGAAGAGGCCAGTGTTGGCTATGTAATGGTGATTCTTGACACAGCCCCGCTTTGCCAGTGAACATCCGATTCAAGGAGAAAAGGCATGCCAGACTATTTGCAAGTAGGATCAGTGGGAAAGGAGCATAAATCACATGTGAGTAAGGAGCCAGGTGTCTATCAGGCCTAGAACAATTATAAAGGGGCCAGAACGACCATATTGGTTTCCATTAGACATAAAGCCTGCTCAGAAACTCAGGAGCACAGCAATGCCGATGTTTGAAAGTCCAGTCCCTAAACAACTTGTGATCGTCCAGACAACTGCTGGGTATTCTTATCTGCATACCAACTTATCTTTTTTCTCCTTCTGAGACATTTCCCTATTGTTACCAAACCGATCGGATTCTCATAGACTCCTAAGATGCTATAGTCACTCCTTGCTGAAACAGAATGGTGCTCAGTATGTTCCTCAGATGAAGCATTATGCTTTTTCTTATGGTTCTAGGAAGGAGCCCCTATCCAGGCATGAAAGTGAACGGCAAGTTTTATCAGATGGTAAAACAGGGATACCATATGGGGAGACCAGATTTTGCTCCAGATGACATGTAAGTAAAAGGATTCCAGGACTTCGAATAGTGCAACTTAGTACAGATGCAGACATTAAAGGAGAGCTGATAAAGTCATCTGCAGAAATTTGGCCCCATGTTTTTTTATTATCTTGCTGCCACAGTTCTATAATAAGTTCCCAGAGTGGTGTAGTGGATAGAATGATGGGCTACAACTCTGAAGAACACGGTTCGAATCCCCACTCAACCATGGAAACTGACTCGGGGAGTGGAAGCAATAAAACTACTCCTTAAATATCTCACTCACCTTGAAAAACCTGTTAAAGTTGCTGTAAGTCAGTTCCAGCACAAAACAGCATTATATATCAACAGTATGTTTAAATATATTTTCAGAACATTCTCACTGGCTTAGATGCTGTTTAGAATATTTCCCCCACCATATTAGCACTTCTTTCCTGCAAACTGCAAGAAGTCAATCAACGTATTTTAAACTCCTATTTTAAAAAAAGCATTCCTTACCCTCTCATCATCAAAATTGGTCCAGACCATCCTGAACCTCTCTTATATTACCAAATTTCAGACCGATCCACTGAGCCATTTTCCAAGCATAAACCATGGAACACCCCGTGTCCCCTGCACTTCAAGCTGTACTATCAATATGTAATTAATCCAATTCTTGCCTTAAAATGTGATTGGATTCCATATACTGTGAGAACGCCCATATGAGCTGGGCTAATTGTGTGGCTCTACACTTTCCCATGACACTGGATCCTATTCAGAAGGGAGCATGCTAATTCTGATGATACAGTACATGTGATTAGACACCGATTTTGTGGGAAGGACCTCCACCGGAGTCCCCTTCCATATGGTTAAGTCAATTATAGCCTAATCTCACAGGTGAAAGTCATACTGAATTCAGTGGGTTTTACTCCCTCGTACAGGCTTGTGGCCTTAAATGTTCTCCCAGCCTAAGAAATCCACTCACTAACATGTAACACACATGGGGACCGGGAAAATGTTCATTATGTGGAGACCTCGGGAAGGGCTTTTTTCTGACGTAGCACCCACAACTGTGGAATACTTTCCCCTTGGAGGTTCAATTGGCACGGACCTTGGCATAATTTCAGCACCAAGTCACCAGCCTTTGGGGCTAAGGATTGTGGCCGGCATAGGTTCTAGTGAAATAGTTTTAATGTTTGTATATTTTGATTTTGTATTGTTTGATTTTTAAAATTGTTTTGAATATCTTCTTTTAAAAATGGGTTTATACGACTTTGTAAGCCACCCTGAGATTCTGCAATATTGGGTGGGCTACAAATGTTTAATTTTTTAAAAAAAATTAAAAATATTTTAACAGCTTTTAGGTTCCATCCATCTTTGTATGGGATTCAAGCCAACATAAGAGAGAGCATTCCAGGAGTCTTAAGACAACAAATGCATAATGTTGGCAGGGTTGGCAGGCCACATTACACTTTCCACATCAGAAGGCTATACACCTGTAGGTAGCCGTATAGACTGTACATCTGTAGATGAGGTATATATAAAAAGATGGTGTCACTATGGTGTTTTTTGGTTTGGGGGCTTCACACGGGCATTCTGGTAAATAGAACTGGAGCCTTCACAAGAGGCCACATGTGCACACTTTAGCTCATGCAACTAGTTGGAATTGTTACTAAAACTGGGACGCCACAAAATGATTTGCTTAATTACAAAGGGGGAAAATTAATGTCTCTCACTTACTAGTATCCTGGAGACTAAATTAATGTTTGATCCCCATTCAGATACCACATCATGACAGCGTGCTGGAACCTGGAGCCAACTCGTCGGCCCACCTTCCACCAGATCTGTACTCTCCTTCAGGAGCAGTTGGATACCAGCAAGGAACGGGTGAGACACTTCAATTGCCATTGGAAAGTGAACTGCAGAGAGGTCCTAATGGTCAGAAGTTTTCCTCCGGAAGTTGCATTCTCTTTTTCATCCTTTAATATAAAGTCATTTCAGTCCTTTGCACCCAAAAAGGGTTCTCACTGAAGAAGTTACTGCTCAGTGGCCAGAATCCTACTATTTATGTATAGTTTGTGTGTCTTGCCACAGCTATAATTGCAGTTAGTTGACAAGGTGCAGGAGCACATCTCAGCTGCATAATTGAGCACATGGCCAGGTGTGCAAAACAGGGACATGATTTGGTATGTTGTTAGGTTTCTCTCCATTATACACCTTAATAGTTGAGGTTTATTGACAAATCCTCATTCCAAGACTGACACTAGCTATATCAGCTATACAGTCACAGCATGTAACTTTCTGACACTAGGCGGTAGTTCATCACTTACTGTACCTATCTGTTTCCAAGTAAAGTTATCATCAACACATCGGAGACTTTTCACATTTCTGAGCATATCCTATACATCTATACTTATACCTATACTTGTATCTATACACACACAATACCAGCATAATGAAAAGGAGAGCCAGAGTGGCAGAACTTTTAAAGCTGAATTGGGGACCCAATTCCATTTCAGGAAAGGTTTTGGGGGGCTGAATTATGAGAGTGAATTGTCAGCAAGGAATCCAAATGTCTGAGGTAGAGTCAAACATAGAGTATACAAGGACAAACTAAATTGGGTGGGGGCAGATGCACCTCTTACCAATTTGGACATTTCCAAACTAAGCATACAAAGCACAGCTACATTCTATGCACATCTGCTCGGAAGCCTGGTCATCAGACACTCAAAGCACACCTCAATCCTATGCAAAAGGGTGGCTTTTCTCTCAGACATGCAAAGCACGGTTCAAGTCCATATACGTGCTGTTTCCAGACCACAGTATTTCAGTCTATATGTCCTCTTAGCCAATCATTGATCAAAACTAACAGCAAAAGAAACTTTTCAACTAGACACAGAGCACTGCATTCTCTGTATGTTCTAAATTAATAAATAAACAAATGATTGCATTATGTCCCTCATCATGAGTGGATGGTGATACATTCTGGGCACTAAAATTGTCTTTTTTTTTCCTCCTCTTCCTGCGAAGGATTATAAAAACTTGCCATGTGCCACAGAAGAAGGTGACAGTGGATGTGAGCCATCCAGCTACTGCGAAGAATCCTGTGACTCCGGAGAAAGCGGGCAACCACTTTTGAGCAGCAATAACTATCAGTTCTGTTAAGGGTACACGGCTGAGACACTCAAGTCTGTGTCATTTCAGCAAAAAGGCAGCTCTTGCACCCATCCCTTTCTTGGGGTGAGTGGGCATTTCATAACATAAAGATGCATGGCCTTGCCATGTACTGATAACTCACTTCTGAATACTAAGCATTACTCATGATGATACCATTTCAAAAAAAAAAATGGCAGGCTTCACTTTTAAAAATATTTAGCTTGGCCATAACCCGTCTATCCAATCCACAGGCTTTTTGCTATTTGGTTAAAACGTGCTTGTAAGAGTGAGAATGGACCTAAACATTTAAAACCACGCTGTTGTGTTTTTGTAACAAAATTGACCTCTTGGCTTCAGCGGTGATGCCCACCCTGTCTTTACACACGTCTTTTCCCTACATGTAATAAGACCTTCGAACTGATTAGGTCTGCCAGAAGGAGAATCAGCAGAGCCAATCCAACTTGGCTAAGGCCAGGAATTTTACAGAAGTCTGGGCAAGAGGAGAAATCATTGTAGCCATTCACAGTATACAGTATGATGTGCCATTTCCCCAGTGACTTCTTCTAAGGTAATTACATTTACTGCAGTAAGAGTTCTAATTTGTTACAGAAAGCAATTTTTTAAAGTACAGTAGAATCCCCTATCTGCAGAGAATTTAAAAGCCCCACTGCAGATGCTGGGGAAAAAAAACACATTATAGTGAATGCTATTTTAATAGGAAATACTGTATTTAGCATGTTCTCTGGCTCCCTCTAGTGGACAGTTCCAATCATGACAGCATGGAAATGTATTTCTCTAACAAACGATAAACATAGCATGGTCTCTGGCTCCCTCTAGTAGCCAGTTCTGTAACTTCAGTTTTAGAAAATACATATTTCTAGGATTTTAAAAAAATTCAGACCATGAATCAGGGTATCAGCGGGTACTCATCCTGCAGATAAGAGGGTTCTACTGTAATAACAATTTCCCTTGTTTCAAAATAGAGATTATCACTGCACAATATACTACTCAAGTAAATAGAACATTTGAAAGATTTTCAGCTGTTGTTATATGTCGTCACCGCCAACTTACGGCAACCCTATAAATGAGCTCCACAATGCCCTGTCCTCAATAGCCCTCCCGAGCTACTATAAGCTCAAGGCTGTGGCTTCCTTTATGGAGTCAATCCATCGCATATTTGGTCTTCCTTTTTTCCTGTCTTCGAAATTTCCTAGCATTTTTGTCTTCCAGCAAGTTTAGTCTTCTCATGAAATGCCCATGGTAGGTTCAGTGGTTCTTGTTGTTTAGTCGTGTCCGACTCTTCGTGACCCCATGGACCAGAGCACGCCAGGCCCTCCTGTCTTCCACTGCCTCCCAGAGTTGTGTCAGGTTCATGTTGGTTGCTTCGGTGACATTGTCCAACCATCTCATCCTCTGTCGTCCCCTTCTCCTCTTGTCCTCACATTTTCCTAACATCAAGGTCTTTTCCAGGGAGTCTTCTCTTCTCATGAGATGGCCAAAGTACTGGAGCCTCAACTTCAGGATCTGTCCTTCCAGTGAGCACTCAGGGTTGATTTATACTTTTTTACTAATGCACAACATGATAGTTCAGTGATTTAGGTATCTGGTGCTGGAGCCAGAGACTGGGAGTTTGATTCCCCACTGTGCCTCCTTGACAGGAGCTGGACATGATTCATAGGGCTCCTTCCAGCTCTCTCATTCTATGATGATAATGATGATCTTAAAATACATTCCCAGAAGTAAGCTCCACTCCACTTCTAGCAAAGCAGTCTTAACTATGTCACTGTTTTCCAGTATCCTAAAATCGATATCATACAGAAAGTGAGACCAGATTCAGATGAAGGAGGAATCAAAGCTGATGGAAGAAACACCAATCATTTAAAATATGTAGATGGTACTATCTTACTGGCAGAAAGCAGCAATGACTTGAAACAAATATTAGTGAAAGTAAAAGAAGAAAGTGCCAAAGTGGGACTGAAGCTGAATGTTAAGATGACAAAAATTATGACTACAGAAGAACTACACAACGTTAGCACTGACAATGAAGAAATTTAAACAATATTTTTTATACTTTGGTTCAATCAGTCCAAATAGAGACACCAGAAAAGAAATCAGAAGGCTGAGACTCAGAAGCGCAGCAATGAAGGAATTAGAACAGATCATCAAGTGTTAAGGATGTCTCAGTAGAAACTAAGACCATCCACACTATCATATTTCCAGTCACCATGTATGCGTGTGAAAGCTGGAGAGTAAAGCAAGCTAACAGGAAAAAAATGATTAACTTGAAAGGTGGTGCTGGAAGAAATCTTTGTGAGTACCTTGGATTGCCAGAAAGACAAGTGGGTCCTAGATCAAATGAAGTTTGAACTACTGTTATCTCTGGTGAAGCTGAGCCTGTCCTACTTTGGGCACATCATAAGAAGGCAAGATTTTCTGGAAAAGACAATAATGCTGGGAACAGTGGAAGGCAGCAGGAAAAGAGGAAGGCCAAATAAGAGACGGGGTGATTCCCTGCAGGAACCCACAGGCTTGAGTTTACAAGAACTGAGCAGTGCAGTTGAGGACAGGACATTTTGGAGATATCTCATTCATAGGGTTGCCATAAATTGGAGATGATTCAGCAGCACAGAAGAAAAAAAATTGATCAGGAGGGATTAAGGAATACATGCAGATTACTTAGGCTCACATTTTTTGAAATGAATTAATCTTCAGCAGAGCTGACTGGCCTTCAGAAAAGTGGTCTGATTTTCTTTCTTCCACCCACCCTGTAACCTTCTCAAAAGCAGAGGTGCTGTTCTGCACCTTCCTGGTGGTTGCAGATCTAATAATCTGGCAGACAACAAAAGCTAGCTCACTGCCCCATCCTCTGACTTGGAAGGTATATGAGGACTACCCAAATGGCATCCCCATTGTGATACCTGCCTGTCATGCCTATGGTTTTTTAACACCAAGTTTTTACTGTATTTGTTTTATTATGTAAGCTGTCCTAGGCATTCTATACTGAAAGTTGACAAGTTGTTGCAATGTATTGATTTTGTTTGTTTTTGGTTTTTTGGTAGCTAAAATGGGTAAACAAACCTCAGGCAACTTTTTAAGACTACTGATATTTGATGCTTCTTCTGACCTAGTTTTGCATATGAAAAATCAATACTAATAGTTAAAGATGCATATTGTAGAATACATGGGCAGTCAGAAGCAGCATCCAACCCACCTTTACTTTTCAGGTTGTGTTACTGGATCTGCAATACAAACACTGTAGCAATTATATGCTTGCACTGCCCATGTAAGCAAACTATTACAAAAATTGTTTTAATGTATATACGTATCTATGATGATGATGATGGTACATTTTGCAATGTTATTTTTTCTTCCTGACACATAACTTGGAAATGTAATAACTTGGTAATCTAGAACGAAACTTTAAAAGAACTATAATGTTTTTCACAATGTTTTATATGCCAGTGATTTTTCTGTAGATTTTATGTAAACTCTACTAGCTCTCCTAAGGAGCCACTGCTGATTGAATGAAGAAGAATGCAAATGAAGGAGAAAGCTCAAGAAACTTTGCCACAACTGACTTAAACTGCAAAAGACCTCTCACAGGTTGGAAATTCAAGATTTAGTTTTGGATTTCTAACACCCATTCTAACTGGTGTGTATTGAACAGCCAACTGCAAAAGTTTTTTTCCAGGGCAAAATTTATACATAACATTCATATTTAATTATCCCCAAAATAAATAAATCTAATTAAGCAATATAATATCTACTCCAGATTTCTTTTATCTTTTATTGTACTCTCTTGTTTGTACTCTCTTGGCTTTGTGAAAACGCTACTTCTTCAATTATTATGCAATTGATAATAACTGGCCAGTTCTTGAAACATCACGACTCTTCAAATCATGTACCTATGAAGGTAAAGATTTGTAACACATGCACACCTCACTGCTCAGTCCTAGAAGCTCTGGTACTACTCAGTATTATGTTAAACTAAATTAAGGGCTTTAAATGCAAACACTAAGGCACAACACAATGATGAATGCTGACCCACTGGTGTAAGCTTAGCTACAATAGGAGAAAACATGGCTGGTTCCACTCCATTCCTTCCATGTGCATTTTTTGAGCTTGGCCACAGGTCTAACCAGACTGTAGAATGCTGCAAGGCACATCGTATTTGGTGGGGTTTTTTTTTAACCATCAGACTATCCTACAGCTGGGTTTGTTTGTTTGTTTTAAACTTAGGGTGGGAGACTTACTGTAATGGAGTTTCAGTGAACAGTGCCATTTAGGTAAACATATGTGTAGGCTCCAAAATGGTATGAAGATCATGGTCCAAATTCAACAGTGAGTTAAGGAACAGAAGGCAGATGTTTTTTTGCTTCTTCTGTAAAACTGGGTTTACAAATGGTTTCTAGACCTCATGGATATCTCACAGTAACTGAAACCAGAACAATCCCAGTTTGGATATTCAGGGTTTTTAAAAAACACAGAGAAGCAAACAAAGCATCTGCTTTCTTTGGACAAATGCAGCTCATGAAGTAAGGAATGATCCACATCCCACAAACAGAACATTCTTTTCCTCATGATGAAAACCTTAGTCACACCTGCTGGTTTCAAGTCAGGTAGACAAAGTCAAGGATGCGCACTAGAACCTCACCCTCTTTGCCTGTCTGCCAAAGAGCTGCAGCTGCCTCTAAGCACTATAACAGGAACCGGCCATTTCAGGGCTTTTCATCGTAAGGAGCTCAGTGACCACGTTGAGCGGAACGCAGTTACTGCTCCTCTGAAGACCTTTCCTGTTGACACAGGGCAGACTGGAGTAAAACAGGTGGAGCTGGAGTGCGCATCCCTGTCTCCATGACGTGAAACTAGCACACTTGAGTAGACCTTAAGTGTTTTAGCACAACTCAAGTCCTACAAAGATTATACAGCACTGGGAGAAACAAAATTCACACAAGTACACAGACAGATTATCCCAACACTCTTTCTAACAAAGGTTTGAATGAATATTATGATGATGCCAGGCCATTACATCATGTTTTGGCAACCATGACCCTTAGCAACCAAGTGAGAAGGACTTTCTAGCGACTTTTCAAACTCCTGCAGCCATTGAACAAGGAAAACTCACTGGGACAGACAGTTCCACTCTCCAAAACTGGAAGAGATAATTTATTAACATTTATCATCAACTGAAAAAAGTGCCTTTCATAAATTAGAATCTTTAACAGCAAATCATACGTTTTGTCAGAAATTCAGTATGGTTCTTTGTTTGCTTGTTTTTAATAACAGTGCCCCCAGAATCCTTCACAGAAGGGAATATTTAAATCCACACCACAAAATGGAATAAAAATATAGTGGGTGCTCCTCTTCACTTTCCAGGGCCTCCTGCCTTCACCGATAGCAAAAAATCATTTTATACTTTTCAGATTCATGGATGGATGAAGGTGAGTAGGAAGTGGTGGACAACTTAGGTTCACATACCAGGTTCAACACATTATGTAAGAACCACCATGCTGGTGTCAAGGCAAAAAGTGTTGAAGAAGTATGACTGCATGGAACACAATCCAGGTCAGTTTTATAATGTAGGAATTAGGGAGTATGTAGTGGTTTGCAAAGAGGCCAGGTATAAGTTAAGATTCCCTAGCAAGTTTCATTACTGGAAGTAAGCAGAAAAGTGTGTCAGACTGTGTTCAATGAATCCAGTTATTGTTGCACAAATGTGCCCCTAGACAGAGGAAAAAGCAATCATTTTATAAGTCCATGGACAGGATATAAAGTAAAGTGCCAGAAAATCCTCTCCTGACCAAATTGTCCAGTTGCATTATGCAAAACATACAAATCCCTGAAAAACCTCAGTAACAACTACGCTAGCCTGGGTGGTTCTAGCCTCTTGCAGTCCAATCCTTACCTTAATGCCCATGGCTATTAAAGTAACTCATCCTGGATTGCCAAGACTAAATGTATGGGTTGAGTCTCCTCAGTCTGAGGCAGAGTTAAGTTACAAGGGCAGATGGGCTCTTACTCCCAGGATACTGATGAGGTCCCAAAGGCTATCTGCAAGTTCTTTTCAGAATAGAGGTCAGTAGCAGCTGGGACTCCATATGATCTTTCGTCTATTATGGCCGCCCCTTCAGGAGATAATATCGGGACAGTCTTCCAACTTTTTACATGCCTCTTTCCGCTCAGGATGCTAGTAATGTACCCATTTTAGAAAGGCAATCCTATGCACATTGATTTTCTTACTGCTGCTAGCCATTTGAAGCCACTGGAAATTCTCTCTTCTTCTTCTTCTTCTTAAGAATGCATGGCCCTGGCTAGTTCAAGCAGCCCCTTGGGACAGAAAGCACACCCCCTTTGCAGATCAAAAACCCAATCCAGATTATCAACGGAAGCACATGACTCTTTGGTCAACAGAAGCTGTCAAAGCTGTTCAGGATTGGAGTTCATCGGAGGGCCAAACTACCAGGAGCACCTGGAGCTTTGCTCTCATCTCTTCAGGCAACAGATAGCCACCTGAAAGGACATTATGCAATACCATTCTCCTCTTGGTTCTCTTCCTCTTCGTCCATTTCTGTCTTGATCTGGGCCACCCCTAGACGGTACAGAGTATCCCGGATCACCACCTCGCCAGGCTGGCAGCTCTGAACAATCTCGTGAATCTGCCTGTTCACAATCTCCCGACTGGAGAAGAAATCCATCAATCGATTGTAGAGATAATAGTGGGTCGCGCTGTCGAAGATTATAGGCCTCTGGCGGACATTACTGGTTTTGCTGTCATCAATAGCAGTAACGATGGCACCATAGGGCTCTAGCTCCCGGCAAAGAGAGAGGGAACGATATCGAGCCGTCGGGTCATTCTGGCTGCTCTGCTCTGCCCCAGGATGCACCACTCGGCGACAGGCAGATTTGGTGACTGGGTGCTCAACAGAATGCTCCACATTGGTCATGTCCACACAGTAGTGCCTGTCAAGAAGTTCTGGGCAGGACACATACTGAGGAAAGAGAAAGAAGACACAGATACCACTCACATTCTTACCAAAACATGCAGTTCAGAACCCATCAATATAAAAGCATCCACTCCTTGTCCAATGTCAAATGAATTCTAAAGACACACAATCCGCAACGTCACCTCCCATTAAGTAAGCTTCTCACTCTACTTCTGCCAAGTAAAAAAAAAAGAGGAGGGCAGAAGACGACTGCAAAAAGGACAAAATAGTTTGGAAACCCAATCCACTGCATGTGTATCCAGAGGTAGGTCCCTACTCCCAAGAATCCATGAAGGATTGTGGCCTAAACCATGTAAAATTAGAACTTAACCAAGTTATAATAGGCAAAACAAACATCTGAATGACAGGCTATAATGTGTTCTTTGGGTTAACTGAAAAACAAAAAGAGATACAAACTTGTAAGAAGACAATCTGTCCCTGATGACCTCACTAGTTCTGGAAGCAGTGTTATGGTGCAAGACCACTCACCTTTAAAGGCTCCATGGGGTCAGAGAAGCAGCCCTGATTCCTTCCCCACATTTCAGCAGTCAAGTCAGGATAGCAAATATCTGCACACAGTGCTACAGAAGAGGCCAAATCAACCACATAGACTGGCGGCCAGTGGCGGGAGGAGGCCAGGAGATCCACGTGGTCCCGGGGACTTTCACCTCTGACAATGTATTTTGAACCACACACAACCTGGGAAGATAAATGATGTATCAGGTTTGACTGATAGATAATGGGGGTGGTGGGGGGAGAGCACTGAAGGAATTAAAGCAAACGTAGCACCTAGTTTCCATCCTAAGATGTTCAAAGACTATCCTGAGTACGGGAGCTTCTACTCAAAGCAAGAGAATGCTACTGAGAAACATTCATTTGCCAATCTCTTTCACCATGATCACTGGCAGGACAAAGTGAACTTTCCAAAGTAATCAACAGAAGTCTTGCAGCTCATTTGACGCCTGTAGGCTTGCTCTTATCCACTATATTAGTTTAAATCTTAAGTTTGATTGATTCAGTGCTAACATCAAGTTATCACAACAATACACCCACAACAAAAGCACACTGATCGCCATAATCACCCATCTCCTGAAAAGAACAAAGCTGATCCAACAGCTGTAAATACTCAACTCCCAAACAAACTGCACCAGAGCACAGAGTGCTACTCCTGTCTTCTGAAGATGCCACAGAGACTGGTGAAAGGTTAGGAAGAACAACCTTCAGAACACGGCTAAAGAGCCCAAAAAACCCACAACAACCATCAAGTTATTTCTTTAAATGGGAATATAATCACAAGACAGTCTAAAAGCAAGGAAAGATACTTAAAGGATAAGCACAAGGAGAACCTCAATTCATGGAAAAGTGTCAAGACTTTAGCATGGAGTTGAGAGAAGCATCCATGAAAGGTGAAAGAAAACTACTCTCCATTTCTTTACCCTTCATGGCCAAAGCTAACACAAGGGCACAGCAAAGACACAGAAAGCTAGAAGGAAGATCCCAAATGTATATTTCTACAGAACTTGTTTTTGGACATTTCAGTTCTACCAATGAAGCCTTGAATGACGCAATGAACTTGAACCAGAAATATGAACAAAACTCAGTAGGCAAGGAGGTTAAAAACTAAATCTAAATGCTTGTTGCCCACCCTGGATTACTGTGTACATGGAGCTGGAGCTGAATGTAAAAGTTTATTTTTCCAATTAAGATTCAAAACCTAGAATCTAAGAAGTATAATGCATTAAACAACTACATGCTCACAGGAAGTCAAACTGCTCATGCCCTCAACTTCATTGTCATGTATTATCCATCCACTGGATAAAAGTCCTCACTCCAGAGGTTTTAACTACTAATAAAGAGTATGGAAGTTAAGCAAATGGGGAACCTCAGCAACCAGGCACAGAGGATAGATTAGTCAGCTTTTCATTATTTTTCTCATCTCACATATCCTGACTTTCCAAGTGAACAAACCCATCAAATAAAGCTGATCAGGACAGAAACCCAGATAGGTTCTACGGAATACACAATGCATTGCACAGAGTGCAACATATATAATTTTTTTGCTTATCTGCCTGCTATAGAGACAGATTTCATGGGTGTGTACCTAATACAATGCTCAAGGAGTGGGCTTGTGGATTAAAAGGGACATTACAGTGATCATGTCAGTAGATGAAGAATTCAATTAAACATTGTTTGTTTGTTTGTTTGTTTCTTCTATGAAATTTATTAAGAGAGGAGACAACTTGGCGCTCAGGACTTGATGGGAGATTATGTGTTCCTGAGCCTATTGTACAATGAATACAGTGACATCAAAAAGTTACATGTTTTCAGTAGCTCTTAGATTTTTACGCACAGAAGCAATATAGATAAATAAAGCTTGTAGAAATAAGCATGCTGATGTTGCCTGGAATCATTAACCTACTTATTTTATTTTGATACCCAGGTGAACACTGAAATCACCATCAAAGTGTTTCCCAGTCCTGGGAAGTATTACCTGCCCTGAGATAAAATGGACAACTGCCAGATAAGGCAACATGGTCTCATTTTACTTCAAAAGAGGAAAGAGGAATTGGAAAGGATTTTTTTCTACTAAGGGCACAGTAAAGCTAAGGAATTTACAACCACAGAATGCCGTGGCCGCTATCAACTTAGACAGAACAAAAAGCGATTGGACAAATTTGTGAAGGATAAGGCTCCCAATGATTAACAGCTATAATGACTATTATGCTGCCTGCAAGATCAGAAATCACATGCCACTGAATAACACTTGCTGGGAAAAACACTGAGTGAATGCTGCTTGTTGGCTTCTAGCTGGTCAGTGGGAGAAACAAGATCTTAGGTTATATAGGACTGTTATCTGTACAACAGAACTCTTTGGTTCTTACCTCCTGTAAGTAAATATGATTATGATTTTACCTTGCTGTCTTTACTGAATGTATCATTTCTAACTTTGTGACATGTCATCCACATCTACCAAACGGTCTCTTCAATCTATTTTACCTGGTGCGGACAGACTTTGTAGATTTTTCCTCCAGTCAAGTGTGCTGGGGGCTGTTTGATCTGTGTCCCATTCTGGACAAAATCATAGAGAGCTAGAAGTGAAAGACAAAGCTGCTCCTAGGAAACATACAAAGGGGTGAAATAAATAGCTTGTAACACACAGCTAAAAAGCTTTATTCTCATGTAAACAGGTGTCTAAGATGACAAGATAAATTCAGACTACTTAGACAGAGAAAGTGTGACACAATTGTACATTGACACACCAAACTCTAAATTCAAAGAATGGTAAGGTGGACAGACTCATACGTTTGAATGAACATTTCTTAAACAGATTTTTACCCACATTTCAAACTACTGGTGCTTCCCAATTGAAAATGCAAGTCCAAAATATTTTGGAAGTTTGAAAAAAGAAGCAGAAGTTATTGGCTGTTTCTTCCCCAAAATCCCCAAATATATTTTCAAAGGACTTCCCTTATTCAAAGTACATGAGTCATTTCAACAAATGCAAATATTCTTAAGCGATGCTATGGAAATGTCAGATAAGGCTTTTTCTGTGGCAGCACTCAACTACAGATCTCCCTCCCAAGGGAAGTCTGGCTGGCTCCATTCGTAATGAGCCTCCCAAAGACATTTAGAACAGCATTATTTTGTCAAGCCTTTGATTTTTAAATTGCTCTTGCTCTGTTTTCAGGAATGCACTGTTCTAGTTTTATACTGAAATTTTATTAGGCTGCATTCTGGAAGCCCTTGCAAGCAGAAACATGATTTATAAATACTTTTCGTAATTAAATTTATGAAATAATAAGCATAATAGAAAAGGACGGTTGAATCAATTTCATAATAAGGTAACTATGATGCCAAGCAAGAACTTTGTTTGTGCTCCAGATATGCTGAACAGATACACAGCAAAATCAAGCTATGCAGCAACTGAATAGATAAGGACAAATGAACAGTACTCACCACACCAAGCTGGTACTTGTTATTTGCTTAAAATAAAACCACCATTAAAGAACTAGAAAGCCAAACTCTGGAATATGGATTTAACAGAGAAATTAACCCATGGAATCTGAAATTTAAGAAATACTCAGACACAAGACTCCTTTTTCAGTATACTACACCCTTTTATTACTTACATTATACAAATAAACAACTATTTCTATCATTCTCATGCTTCTTTATGGAAATATCTGTATGATAATCTCTGATGCTTACAACACGTACACATCTATTTACAGATATTTACAATACAACACACATTTCATTGACCACCATAACCCATGTTAAAGTCACGAAATATCTGCAATATTAGGATGTTTATATTCCTGTCATGTAACCTTCTTAAATAAAGAAAAGGCACCTTTACCTTTGAATCCTCTGCCTCCCATGGAATGCTGCATTGAGTCAAGAAATTCTGTAGTTCTTCCTTATTGTATGAGCCAATCTGTTCCATCTTGCATATTTCATCCTGAATTAGCCTCACCAGGACACTTGGATTACCTACAGGGTAAGAGTCAGAGGGTTTTCAGTATCTTCATCAAAAACAAGAATATCTGAATCATTTCTGCCACAGATGAACTGATCCTTGCCTCATAGATGAGCAGATCCTTGCCATTTTACCAGTTCTTAACTTCCTATTACTAGAAACTGACAGTATGAATTTGAGGATGTACAAGCAATAATCAGAAAGTCACACCAAGACAGTGATCCACTGAGAAATTCTGATATTAAATATCATTATACATGGTAAAGGTAAAGGTAAAGGTAAAGGTTCCCCTTGACAATTTTTTGTCCAGTCGTGTTCGACTCTAGGGGGCGGTGCTCATCCCCATTTCCAAGCCATAGAGCCAGCGTTTTGTCCGAAGACAATCTTCTGTGGTCACATGGCCAGTGCGACTTAGACATGGAACGCTGTTACCTTCCCACCAAGGTGGTCCCTACTGATCTACTTGCATTTGCATGCTTTCGAACTGCTAGGTTGGCGGGAGCTGGGACAAGCGACGGGCGCTCACTCTTATGACTGCTGGTCTTCTGACCCTGCAGCACAGGCTTCTGCAGTTTAACCCGCAGCGCCACCACGTCCCTCTATACATGAAATATTCATAATTCTTAAATTGCCCACTAAAGCCTACACACACAAGACTCAGAAGCACCCTTGCAAAGTCTACCCTAGCATTCATGCAAGTCTGCAACACATAAGATAAAGAGCATCTTCACTTCCATAGTACATGAAAGTAACATGATACTGGACATTGGTTACATATAGCTGGCAAGACCTAACTCAGTTCTCAGATTCCACAAATCAGCAGAAGAACATTCCCTCTTGTCACCTTCCCAGTTTTTAATGTCTTTCTGGAAACTAATAAAGCCACCAGTCAGTTAGAGGAACGCTACCAGAATGCCCACAGGAACAATCTACCTGGCATTATATGTGCTTCGAGGTTCTTCTCTCTCTCCGTATTGACAACCACGGTGCCCCTCATCAGAGGTGGGAAGAAGGGAGCTATGATAGAGGCATCAAACTTTGTGATAGGGATGCTGGAAGGGAATGCCACCTGCTCTATCACTTCTGTCTCCATGGTGGACCAGAAGTCTTCCACATTAACTTCACTAGATGCCAAGAATTCTGGCCAGGTAAACTACCATTGGAGAAAGAGGGAAAGAAAAGTGTCAACGAACACTGAATTTTGAGGCAGTGCACATTCTGTTCTACCTTACACACAGAAACTGGTTCCTCTATCTGGTTTAAAGCACACAGTATAATTTTGTCGTCATTGTTTTCAGATTCCCATGAGCTCAAAATGGCAGAAAGATAGTTCATAGGGATTAGGCCCATCAACTTCAGGAGGTGGACACTACAGAAAATGTGCTCTAAAACTGTCTCTTTTCTGGAGTTTTTAAATTAGGAAATAAATACACAGTGCAAAATAGCCCCACGAAAACAGGACAGCCAAAGAGTTACAAAGCATGCCTATAAAAGCCTACCTCAATATTTTTCAGCGACAGAACATTTTCCACATTCCTCTGGGCTATCTCAACTTTGGGTGCAATGCCACAGACTCCACAGATCATATCATTGTAGTCTCGTACAGTGAGGCATTCAAAGGCCCAGTAGCCATTGCACAGCAGCTCCTCAAGCTGACTTAACTCCTCAGGATTCAAGGTTCTTTCTATGGAAATAAAAATAATAATAAGAGTAAGAAGAGGAAGAGGACTGGCTCTCCTTACTTTCCCTTAGGCAGTATGGGAATACTGCTACAGGACATGGGACATTCCAGCACATCCATTACAAGCTACAGAGATCCAACATTTGCCATCCAACAAAAACATGGCCAACCTCAAGGGCTCTAGTCACAAAAGCTGGAGATTCAGGCTTAGATGGTAGGAAATTCAAGAAAAGTAAAGGAAAGGATATTTTTTTTGTACCACACGTACCTACAGAATTCACTGCCACTAGATGGAGTGATGGCTACCAACTTGGATGACTTTTTAAAAGGACTGGACAATTCGTGGAGATTAGCACTATCATTTAGCTTATGGTCATCATGGATGCATGTTCTCCCCAGTATCAGAGGCAGTATGATGAGCAGCACAAGCAAGAAGTGCTGTTACACTTACCTCCCACTTTGGGCTTCTCCATAAGCAACTGCCTGGCCACTGAACAAATACAGCACAAAGACAACATAAGCCTTTAGCCTGACCTTATGGCCTTAATAGCAGGGCGGAGAACTATACATTAACTCAGTGAAGGTAAATCTATACTGTCACAAATCTCTGCCTAACAATGACAGATAATCTTCCACAGCAGGAATTCTGCAAAGTTCTGTTCTCTTTCGTATCATGGAAATCCTCAAGTAAAAAAAACATCACATGTGATTATCTGCCCTATTATACACTTCCAACAGTCCAAAACCAAAGGTATTTAGTCCTACGCTATCATTTGTTTGCTTCATATCAACAAGTCCCTTTGCGTACCGATTCGCTTGTCTGGTTAGACTAAAGTATCAACTGCTCTTGCATCCATTCCACATTCTTCGGCTGCTTCAGTCAAATACCAGGCAAACCGCTAAAGAAGTTGTACTTTTCCTTGAGCTGCTGTATGAATGCTGAAAGACAGACTACAGAATGGGCAGCTTGACTCAGCCAACCCTGGATAGATTATCTCAGTGGAGAGGGAATGGCTTCTTCACACGCCCATCAAACAATGTCAAGGGAAAGTCAGTTTTGAACACAGCTGGTGAAAAAGCCAATTCTATTAAACACCTCTTCAAAACAAAACCCTCCCCTACCAGAAAAATGAGGGAAGCTGCAGCCCAAAGAGTAGAACTCATGCTTCACATACAGAAGTTCCCAGGCTCATTCCCGAACATCTCAAGGCAGGCCTAGGAAAGCATCCTGCGCCTGAAACCAAGGAAAGCTGCTGTCAAAGTCAACACCACTGGTCTAGGTGCATCCAGCAGAAGGCAGCTTGCTATATTCCTAATGTGTGGAGCTCCCATCATCTCTCACTACTAGCTATGCCGTGTAGGGCTTGTAGGAACTGCCGTCTAATACCATCTAGACGGCTGCAAGTTGCTCAGCATGAGTCTTTCACTAGCAGAGCCCCCTTTTGCACATGCAAAGCTCTCACAAAAAAGCCTAATGTGTGGAGCTCCCATCATCTCTCAGTACTAACTGTGCCGTGTAGGGCTTGTAGGAACTGCCATCTAATACCATCTAGATGGCCGCAAGTTGCACAGCATGAGTCTTTCACTAGCAAAGCCCCCTTTTGCACATGCAAAACTCTCACAAAAGAGGAAGAAATGGCAGAAGTCAATACCTGTCTGTTCCTGCACAGACTCCAAGATGCTGCTGACAGCCACTTTAGGATTCTCACCAAGCTTAATATGATTCCTTATCATGAACAGGAGGTCCAGGCTCACCAAAAGCTTGTTACCCACATTGAACAAACCTGTGGTTGAAAAACAAAATGCACTCTTAGAGTCGATGTACACCTAAGGATAGCTCAGTGAGTTGGGAACTTGGCTGTTTAATGCCTCACTGTCCCTCCAAGGAGAAGAGCCAACCTGTGTGGCCTTGGGCAAGCTGCACACTCCCAGGATGCACCCAAAAGAAAGGACTGACAAACCACTTCTGAGTACACATTAGCTAAAAAACCATGGGAAAGATCATCATAAATCAGGATTAGAGATGGGGGCATTCGTATACAAATATCCCCACACAGCTGGACTTAACGAGGGTCTGCACCCCCCGGGGCCAGAATGTCCACTCACGCGTCGGCCAGCGGAGGCAGTCCTGTTCATCCTTCCAATCACGCTCGGAGTGCCGCTCTCTTCCCGCTTGGCTAGCCACTCCAGGCAGGGGGAGGGAGGACAGGTCTCCCTGCACGGCTGCCAAGTGGGCCGCCAGCAGACATGTGAGTGGACAGTCCAGCCCCAGAGATCAGACCCTCATTAAGTCCAGCTGCATGGAGATATACAAATACAAATACCTCCATCTCTAGTCAAGATCAACACGACAGCACAGAATTATTATTAACCAGAAGGTGAACTCAAAACCCAAGTGTAGTTGAGTTATACACAGGTATATACTATGCTCAAGTAAGTTAAGTAGGTTTGTTTGAATCAATGGAACTTACAGAGGAGTTGACTCACTAAATCCCCACTGATTTAATGGGCCTACTCTAGTGCAATGTATTTTGCTAAGCAACAGGATTTCAGCCATAGATCTAAAACACATACTCCAGTTTTGCATCTCCCCATATTTTGAAGCTTAAGCCTCCCAGAACTTAATTCATTGGTGCATTTTCTTACCAGTATAGATATCGTTGAAGCTGTGGAGAGCCAGGCACTGCACATTCACACACACCTTGAGCTGAGCAGTAACTACCTGGAGCCTATTTGCAGTCAACAACCAGCATTCTTGTGGGCCTGCAAGAGAACTATAACAATGGAATAGGGAAGAAGTTACTTAACTGATCACTCGAGAAATGCAGGGAAGATTTTTAAAAATCATCAAACAGGGGTTGTTTGGATCAAAGCACTTTTTAAGTCACCTTAACAGTTGATGACAAATAATCAATAGCGTAGAACACTGATGTACTTCAGTTTTGCTAAACAGACTATATAAATCACATTGTTAATGTAAGTGAAGGGCAGGGAACCAATCTAGACGACAACAAATAAAGCCAAATATTGCCTTTATCTTTCCTACTTCTTTTAAGCTTGCTAGACCCTGCAGAGTAAAACCCACAGCTTAAAAATTAACATAATTACTGTTCACTTTTTAAATTTTACATTAAGGAACAACAGTACTGCTTAACAGAAGAAGAATTACTAATGCAATGTTACTTCGAACAAAAAGGAATACACTATTACTCTTTTGTTGTCACTGCTCTTTAGTAACATAAGATGGGGGGGTGTTCTATTCTTAACATGAAAATGAAAGTGCCATACTACACAAAGAGCAGTGGGATCCTGCCTCTTCCTTCTACAACAACTGCACAGTTGAGACAGTCATGAGCGCCCGCTGCCTACAGTTCCCAGAGAGCCTGGAGTGTTCCTTTGCTCCATTAAAGAGTGGCTCTAAGCACCCCAAGAAGCAGTAGGCGGCCTGTTCCCACGCTGTGGACTATGTTAAAGTTATTGGAGAAGTAACAGAGTCCTTCGTTTTGAAGTTAAGAATCAGAACATATCCAGTCTACCACAAATAACAGTTAAATGATGATAATAGTGTAACAGCAACTGGAAAAATTACTTATGAAACCCAAGCAGCTGTAACAGGATTTTTATCAAGATGTGTAACAAGTAACATAAGGAGTAACTTTTGAAAAGCAAAATTCTAACTCTGGCGATGCCTACCCAGATTTTGTTCCCCTGCTAGTGATAAAACTTTTTGACAGACCTCAGGTAGTAAAATGCTGAAGAACCAGGATATCCCAATCGTGTTTCATTTTCTCAAGACTCAGAGAAGAAAAAAAAATCAAATTCCAGTCTCAAGATACAGATTATGGGCAGCAAAGACACCAAACGAACATTTTTAAAATGGCAATGCTACAACCATCTCCTTTTAGTGTCTAAAAGCATGAAGCAATATTAAAAGGAAAGGAAATGTTGCTCCCACAAAAGCCCATTACTGGGCTGGGCAACTCATGGCCCTGGAGATGTTGTGAAACTGCACGTTCTATCAGTCCTAGCCAGCAACAACATCCGGAGGGCCCCAACTCCTGCAACAGGTCATGAGAAGCATAGGATACAATTGCTAAACTTACTTTGGTCCTCCTTTGAATAAAGGGCTGCTACAGAGAAGGCACTGGGATGAAGGAAATTCATAGTAGTTTGACCAAGAGGTCTGCTCGATGGTGACAGTCTCCTCATTCATGTTAGACAGGATAAGCCGTGAGCTATTGAGTTCATTGATCAGTGCAAAAACGTCGGTCAGCTCTGATTCGTTCTCTGGGATCTGTATTACTTTGCGCAGAAGCTGCAGAGTGGACTGTCGCTGGATCTCTTTCTGGGACTGAATTAGTGGCTCACTGGTGTTCAGAACATGCACAGGACTAGAGGTGACCTCCTACAAAGAAGGTGTCATTTTGATTATCTGTCAAAACATTTCTGGATTTAAATCCAAATGCCGTTACCTTCCCACCATGGTGGTACCTACAGTATTTATCTACTCGCATTTTGCATGCTTTCAAACCGCTAGGTTGGCGGGAGCTGGGACAAGTGACGGGAGCTCGCTCTGACACGTGGATTCGATCTTACACTGCAGGTCTTCTGACCTTGCAGCACAGAAGCTTTTTCGATTTAACCCGCAGTGCCACCACGTCCCTCCATAACCATAAACCATAAAAACACATTAATTATACCATTAAAACACTTCAACGAAAAGAAATCACTGGTTCCCCAAAAAAAGCCAACAACAACACATCTTACAATGTTGTAAGCCTGTCTGAATAAAAACATCTTCATTAGCTGACAAAGGGAAAAAAGAGGGATGGGATCAGGAATGTGGGATGTGAGTCACTGGAGAGAGCTACTGAGAAAACCCTTTCTTTAACTGCCACCTAGTGCGCCTCTTGTGTTGGTGGGACCAAGGGAAGACCCTCACCCAAGCTCTTACGGGAGAACACAACCCTTCAGAAAAGTCTAGTCCAAAGCCTTCTTGATGAAATCACTGAAGCGACGTCAGGACAAACACCCAGCAAAGATAACAAGGAGGCATAGCATGTCACTTGGTCTTCCATCCAAGTTCTCTATACAGCTATTCAATCGCCCACTACATTCAAAACTGAAGACTCACAGGAAAGAGATGTTCAGTATACTAGACTTTATTCCAAGGACTATAAAAGAGAGCCATAACTCACCAGGGATTTTGCAGTTTTCTCAGCTCTGTCTTTGGCAAGGTTGTACCCACAACTAGGGCAGATTCTCGGCTTGTGCCGATTGGTGTACACATAACTGCAAGAAGGGTTCTTGCATTTCCCTCTTCCACGTGACGTGGCCAAGCCCAAATCCTACCGAAAAGACAGAGAGACCAACGATTTTTCCATATGTTATTTTACACATACCAAAAGGTTAGCAGGTTTAACAAACAACCATGTTGCCTGTTGTCCCAGAATATATTAAAATCAGCAAGATAAAATCATGGCATGGGTCACTGTGCTGACAAGCCAGCTAAAAATGAGTTGCTTCAGAAATAAGGCTAAATACCACAAGCAATTAACTAGAAAATGTCTATGTAAGCCCAACAGGAGTACAGGCTGCAGGCATTAATAAAGGGCAAAATTCAAATTCCATTAGGATGCCAAGAAAGAATAAGTTCACAAAAGGGATTAATGTCAAGTCAGATAGCACCTGTGTATTTTCCAATTCACTGCACTAGTATAAGCTACCAGCAGGTAAGAAATGAAAACTGCACATGCTTCTTAGACTAGAAGCTGTGATGTTTCTGGGTAAATCAAATTCTAAAAGCTTCGGAGTGGAAACCGTTCCAAGATGAGAGGGAGACAGAAGCTGACCTAGAAACCAAGTTGTGAGAGGAGGATGAACAAAAGCCTCCAGAGTAACATCTTTCATTTTTAAGAAAAAGCAGTTCAGCCCATGGTCACTTGGAGGAATTTTCATCTCCTGTGATTTAAGTAGTTTACACAAAGGAAACTAGCACAAACTCTATGCTGCTTCCTAAAACAAACAGCATCCAAAATTTCAAAAAGTTCTTGAATGGCTTGGACAAGATTCAAGCAGATAGGCCACAAGTCACCTATGCCTAACTGATACACAAAAGAGGGCTTCCTGCCTGTCTACAGTGAGGGTAAAATAATGTATTCTGCACCTGGTCTCTCTCTCACACACAAACATACACCAATTCTTGTACTGGATTCTTAGGAGGAGATTGATGATCAAAGATTCTTACCAAGGTCACGGTGCAGCTATATTTGTAGGAAGGAAATACATCTGGTTTGACCTCTACCACCTTAACACGAGACGCTGAACTGTTTGTGCTACCCTGGACCTTTAGATTGATATCAGCGAAGCAAAAGAGAAATAATGTCAGTGCAAGAAATTCTTTCTCTTCCTCAAAGACATTTGATTATTTATCTCTTCAAACATCATCATACCTTCAGCCCAACACTGGCAGTAGTTTAGCATTTGTGAAGAGTCTATGTAACATACACAGGCCAAAATCCTGTTGAGTGGCTTCTCCCCGTGCAACAGGAATGATGCCATCCTCAGCAATGTACTGCAGCTGATTATAGATTTCCTTTTTAAATTTCAAGCTGCATGTGACTTCTCTTCACTGCAAGCAGGCTGTGTGTACCCCAAAAGTGAAAGTCCATGATTATGTTACTTCCTTTGCACAGAGGGAGCTACACAACAGGGTTTTGGTTGTGGAATAGCAGGACGTTTCTAAGGGCAACATCTGAGCATAAATTCAATAAATGGAAGAGCAGGCCTTGAATTCACAAGTACATTCCATCTCCTCATCATGTGGCACTGTCAATTCTAACTTATAGTGCCCCTTTTCAGGGTTTTCTAGGTGGAAGTACTCAGAAATGGCTTACCCCTCCCTTCTTCTGGGGGGACTTTGGGAATGCGCAGCTGGCTCCTCTTGGACCTCAGAAATGGCTTACCATTCCCTTCTTCTAGGGGGACTTTGGGAATGCGCAGCTTGCCCAAGGCTGGCTCCCCTTGGATGCCCAGTGAGGAACTGAACTCTCAACCTCTGGATCCACAGTCAGATGCTAACTCACTGAGCTATTCAGCCAGCACAATGTCATATTAATCCTGGGGCATTTCTCCCAAATTAAGACTAGAATTCTGCTCTAGATTCTTTACTGCACAACACCTGCAAGTGTGTGCTCAACCCTGAATCAGCCTTGCTCAATTGACTGATTTACCACAAGATCAAATGCATGGGTTGTCTATGCAGAGTCCAATGACTTATATGCATTTTCCACAGTCAGATGCTAACTCACTGAGCTATTCAGCCAGCACAATGTCATATTAATCCTTGGGGCGTTTCTCCCAAATTAAGACTAGAATTCTGCTCTAGATTCTTTACTGCACAAACTGCGAACCAACACCTGCAAGTGTGTGCTCAACCCTGAATCAGCCTTGCTCAGTTGACTGATTTACCACAAGATCAAGATGGGTTGTCTATGCCGAGTCCAATGACTTATGAAATCTGCATTTACAGTATGGCATTTCTACATTGATTGGGTTAACAAACTATCCTTCAGAAGAACTTTGGCTACTTTCTTGCATTGTATTCTGGAGCTATTCTTGAGGATATGCAATTAGGTGCCTCAAAACTCATGTAGCATTTATGGAACCCAGATCATGGCCCTAATCAAACTCGTGGCGCAGTGGTTAAATCGCTGTACTGCAGCCAAAACTGTGCTCACGACCTTATGAAATCTGCATTTACAGTATGGCATTTCTACATTGATTGGGTTAACAAACTATCCTTCAGAAGAACTTTGGCTACTTTCTTGCATTGTATTCTGGAGCTATTCTTGAGGATATGCAATTAGGTGCCTCAAAACTCATGTAGCATTTATGGAACCCAGAGCATGGCACTAATCAAACTCAGATACTACTAAGTTTCTGAGAACATCTTTATGACTCACTGTCTGCAACCAACTTTATGTACAACACTGCAACAGAGCCATATTCTGTTTATATTTTTATGAGCTCAAACCATTATTCATAAGAGCAGTTTGATCACAGTATTCATCTCTTCTAACACCTGAAGAGCAAGCATCAAGTGCCTTAAACACTTAGCCAATTATTTGATATAGAAATACAAAACTTAACATGCTTTGGCCAATAGAACCTGTGTCCTCATGGCTGAGAAAATTCTACCTGTTATGGTATTTCACCATTCTAAATGATCACCTTTTAGAACAGCCAAGAATATCACAGAGCATTTATTTTTGCAAGAGTCAGTATTAGTATAGAACCTTTTGTGCATTTGCTTTCTGCACATGTAAGACTGGAGTCCCTGAACCTCTGCTGCATGTCCTGCTATAGAAGTAATAGGCTACTTCTATACATATAATTAGTATTACAGACTAAGATGTACATACAACTTTTGCTCCCACACCTTTCTCAGTGTACTCCAGATAAAATCTGGATGCTTTAAAAAAAGTACAAAGAAGACATAAAAGGCACAGGAAAATAATTTACTAGTTACTGTATGCACAAGGACACACCAAATTAGTCTCTTCAGGAAACATCAACAAAAACAACAAACATGTAACAAATGCTAAGACCTTCAGACGCTGTAGGATTGCCATCCCCACCAGCCATAGCCAGCATAGCCAATGATAAGAGATGACAGGAGATGCGGCGCAGCAACATCTGAAGCACCGCATGCTGCCCACCTTTGGCTGATGTCTGCTGTGTATACCTCCCCAAATCAAATCAGTTAGGTAAGCTAGTTTGATTTTTCACTTCTACATGGCATTAGAAAATAGAATGTCAACAGGTGCTGACAAAGAAAATTCCAAGACTAGAAAAGGACAACCAAATTTTAGGTAAAATCCATATTTACCTTGTGCTCTTCCACAGTAGATGGTTGCAAGGAAGACTGACCCAGCTGCTTCAGAGTACTAGGCTTCAGCCCCGAGATCCTTATGGGGGAGTTTTCTTAAACACAGGAGGTGTAATATAGGCAAATGATCAATATCACTATCTTATATTATACACCAACAGGACTAGCAAGTGCAGTATGAGATCAGCTGTCAGTGCACTTCCTTTTCTTATGATGTAGGTGAGGCCTGAAGGCAGAGGTGAGCAACTGCCTGGGCGGTAACTCCCATGACCCTACTAGCTAGGAACGAGTGGAGTTATGACCCAATATCATCTGCAAGGCCACATTTATCCATTCATACCTAAAACAGATTTTGATGGAAAATCCAGCTCTAAGTCCTTATTTCACTAGGTTTCCCAAAATTCCACTAACAGCCAACATAATTCTAAATGTAACAACCAATGACACACCCTTCAGAAAACACAGCTCTCCCCCGCCCCCCAAGCATATACTGGAGTCCTCATTTTACCATTGTTTGCCGATGATTGTTTGCCAGAGGGCTGCTCTGTGTTGGTTTCTCTTGCCAGGCTGGCAGGTGCAGGCAAGATGGCCCTCATGGGTCTTGCAGCAGCCAGTAGAGAAGGCTTGGGTCTCGTTTTACTCTTCTGCTCCTGCACCTTAGGGACTGTGCCAAGAGCATCAATTCTGGAAAGAAAATAATTTGTGTGCTGCAAACATCCTACCCTGTTTCCCCAAAAATAAGACCTAACCTCATAATAAGCCCTAGTATGATTTTTCAGGATGCTCGTAATATAAGCCTTACCCCAAAAATAAGCCCCAGTTCAGTGAAACCCCGCCCTCCACCATTGTGCAGCCACCAGAAGAAGACAACATGACTGAGTTTGAATAAATGTAGATTGTTGTACATGAAAAAATAAAACATCCCCTGAAAAGAAGCCCTAATGCATTTTGGGAGCAAAAATTAATATAAGACCCTGTCCAATTTTTGGGAAAACATGGTATATGCCTACAACAGGCCCGCAAAAAACTGTTGTCAACAGTGAAATTTATCTCACTGTGCCAGCTATCAAAATAAGACACTGAGAAACAGCTGGCTTCAACTTATAGACGTATATCCAGATAAGTGCAGAACATCACAGGAAAAGGTTGGATGGCAAAAAACAGTCCTGAGAGCGCATGGAGAAAAGCCTCGGAATCATGTGAATCCAAGTTACACTTTGTGTCGCAAAGCATGTGCAGGTTTCCCTATCAGTCATGAAGACATAAACAACTTACCCCACTGGAAGTTTCACAGCGGAAGATGGATGGGCAAGTGAGTTAGCAGCCTTCCCCACCTCCGTGGATGGCTGCTTCTCCAATCCTTCATTCTCCCTTCGTTCTGATGGAGGGTCTGCCTGTGCAATGCTCTCCTGAAGGTGAATGACAGCAGTGGCATTTCCTTGTTCCGCTGGCTGCAGATTGTTTGCAAGGATGTGAGCCTCCGAGATGATTACTTCTTCCCACTCAGCCTCCTGCACCTGCCCCACAGCCGGGACTGCATTTAGCAGCTGGGTTACAGCTTCAGAGCTCTCCAGCATCGATTTAGAGGCACTGACTTGGGCCACAGCCTGTCCTGAAGCTAACAGAGGCTGACTTCTCTTGGGCCCCAGCGTTTTTATAGGCAAACTTGAATTTGGTTCAGGTTTGCTTTTCAGCTGTTTCTCCTGAAACATTAAAAGAAACCAAAGTCAACACCATATATGCTTGATGTTCAAGCTTAGGTGGCAGACGCAAACAGGGAACAGAAGACATGAATTACTAGCATCTGACAAGCAAACATGAACATCACAGAGCAACCATCTTGCCCTCCCTCACCACACCATGTGTACTTAAGCACCATTATCTATATTCCTTTTCCTGACCTGAAATCTGAAAATGCATATAGAAAAGCATCAAGATGAACACACACTAAGACTTGTTATACACAAATCTGGAACCATAGCAAATGCATACTGAGGTCTGATTTCACTTGGTACCAGTGTTACGGTTTTAATTTGTTATTGATTTTTAAATGTGTTCTTAACCAATCAATTTAGAGCAAAATGCACAATGCAACTAATAAATGTAAATAAAAATAGTGCCTCTAACACAATTCACTATTTTCATGTAAGAATCATCAGTGAAAAGTGAATTTATCAGAAAGGAATATAACTTTTTAAAGGGGAACAGCACTTCAGAAACTGTAGCCTCATGATACAGTACTGCAGCCAAAACTCTGCTCACGGCTTCGTTTCAATCCCAGGTAGCCAGCTCAATGTTCACTTAGACTTCCATCCTTCTCAACTCGGTAAATTGAGTACCCAGCTTGATGGACGGACAATGTGTAGCCTGCATAATTAAAATTGTAAACCGCCCAGAAACTGCTTGAAGCGCTATAGGGCGGTATATAAGCAGTACACTTTGCTCTTGCTTGCTGCCTTAGTGGTAAATGCTTTAAATAGTTTTGAAATAAAAGGTGTTGACAGTCCTCATACCATTTTGCTAACCAGTCATTGAATTCCTTTCAATTAGAGATTTGGTTATCCCCCACATTCTTGCTGTCTGGGGGGGCACACAACCAGGTTTCAATTAGAAACATACCTGTACCTATTTACACAAGCCTGGGGACAGCAAGGGTCCCTGCTGCTGCTTGCTCACACTGCAGTCACGATATTTTAGGAATAAGCTGAGGACATTTCTAATTTGTGATTTTATGTGTCTGATTTTAACTATATATTCTTATGTATATTGCTAGCTACCCTGAGTTCCTATGAGGAAAGAGGTGGTCAAATAAACAATAAACAAATGAACAATGGCTCTGAAGATTCACAATTTCTTCTCAAAAATTCTATATAGCACATATTTACTCACTTTTAGAAAATAAACTTAACAACAAAAGCTGAGAAAACGCCACACAGTGGCATATTTTCTGTTATTTGAAACATACCTTAGGGATCCATTTACCTCCCAGAAAGTTCCCACACATTGGGCACTTGGGTGGCTTGTGTCTGGTGACATATGTAAATGAACAGGCAGGATTGGTGCAATTTCCATGCCCTCGGCGGGTATAGGTAGTTGTCTGGGGTAAGAAAATAGCAATTACTTCATAGATATAGGTCTGTATCCCGGTATGGAATCACCAAGGTGCATAGCCCCATAATATTACTTGGATTAACAGAGATATCATATGATGCATCAATAATAAATCGATTTATTCATGAGCTCACACAGTCAAAAGTAGGCCACAGAATATGATACAGTGAAACAGGTAAACAACTGGGCTTCTGTAGGAGTGCTATAGAAAAAAATATGCATCATCTTTATGGTACAGACTGGGGAAAAAAGGAAAAATCCCATTCTTGGAATCCTGTTCTTCATGGCCACCATTTCAGCCCACAGTACCCAGAACTGGTACTGTACTAATGAGGATCAGGTAACGATGCCATTTTCATTTTTTCTGAACTGCTCATTTGAACATCGCTTTTTTAAAATTTCAGCTCACATAATGTTCTGTAATTCACATTACACTGCTGTCTAGCAGTCTTGCTTTCCAGCTTAAAGATGCAAGCATAAATGATGATGCTTTCTATCAGGGTAAAGCTATAGAACAAAGAGACAGCATCATCATTTCCTTTACTGACCAGTTTGATTGATGCTGGGTTTTCCACAACAGAATGTGCTGGCAGAGGAAGCATAATGAACTGTGCAGCAGGTTTTGAAGAATTGTTTTCTTCTCTGTCCTTTCAAGGGAAAAGAGAAGAAGATATAATGAACTTTCTATGTCCTATTCATTTCTCTTTCTATTTCATACACATATAAACACTCAAAATACAATTACTATATAAAGACAAAATGATAGCAGTAATTAGGAGCTATAGATGTAGCCATCTTGATCTGTCAAATAACCTGTATGACAATAGAGATCTTCTTGTATGGCAGCATATATAATGATGAACTAAGGAACAAGGCTTCAATCTGATGCCTACTGCACTGGAGAAATGTATCGCTGATATTTACCTCTCAGTACACTACAAGAAGCACTAAGCCTGCCAAAAGGAAATCAATTGTAAACAAGCTTTACTTACTGTTCTAGTCACCACCGTGACCACAGAGAGGCCATCTGAAGCTTGAGGTTGTGTCACAGTAATGCCTCCACTGGAAGCTTCTGAGCAGTTAACCAGGGTTTCTTCAATAACCACACTAGCTGCTTGATAGGGATAGCCATCTCCTACTTCCAGAGGAGCCTCATCCAGGAGGACATTGCCGGCCAATTTATGGGGAGCAGGTCTGACATAGTGGGACAAGATCTCTGATGCAACAACTTCTTCTATCGTGTCTGACTGAACAAATGAGGCCGGGTCTTCTGAAGCCCCTTCAATGGCAATGCACTGCTCAGAAATGCCAATGTGGTTGGTGTCTACGGAAAGGATGTTTTGCACAGTACCATGGGAGACACTTGTGATGTTAGCAGAGGCTGTTACTCCTTCTGAGGCTGTTTGGCCCGGAGTCACACACAGTTCCAAGTGCTGCTTGCTCCTTTCCTCCTGAAGACTGCCTTTAGGAATAATTATGTAATCTGAACGAGGAAGGATTTTACGAAAACCTGGAATGTCTGGAACTACAGCAGCCAGAGAAGACAATTTTGAGTTCTACGGAGAAGAGCAGACATGGCCCAGACATAATTTTTGGCTGTTATTTTGATGCATTGGTCATATAATAAACAAATTTCAAAGACAAAACACTACTAAAATCTCATCACTAGCAAAGCTAATGTGCATTCCTCTATTTTGCCTCTATCTGCTCTTCCTAATCTATAAAGAGCGGAAATCTACCCACTGTGTGGCACATGACTCAAACATGTTACTATAAAATCATGTTTAGAACAGATTGTGTTTCAGCAGCACATTTTTTTCTTTATCCAGAGAAAAGTGGGATTTCTTTTCCCCTAAGGGCTGCTTCTCCCTTCGGGGATCTGGAGATTCCCTCCCAAGTTGTGCCTGGGGGTGATGTTGGTGAGTCAGTCCCCGCTGGGCTGGAGGGAAAGCTGAAAGGAGGGCTGGCAGAGTGGGAGCAGACAGAACCCAAATTGCAAGCCAGCCAAGCAGAGGAGAGACACACACACTCCAATCAGGTGGTAGACATTTGGTGGCAGAGTTACGTGTTATCAGACTGCTATTGATTTTGGAGAGATCTATGAATTAATGCTCCCCCACCCCATCTTACTCCTATAGTCAAAAATCCTGCTGTATCCTTGGTAAAATAAAGGCGGTGGTTTTCCTATTGAATCAATCCACCTCAAGTTCTGTCTTTCTCTTTTCCTAGCAATACTGTTATTTCCAGGGAAGTTTGTCTTCTTGCGATAGTTTACCCCACTAAAAATGTCTTTTTATGCAAATATGGTGGTAGAGTTGCATGTTATGTGGCTATTATGAAAGGGGGTCATGACTTAAAAACTGTTGGGAAACAGTGGTCTAGGTAACTGATAATTAAGTAGTATTTTATTTCTTTTGCATTGTCAAATTATCAAAAAAGCATAAAAATAATTTAAACATCTGCAAAATATTATGACAAGAAACTACATAATTACCGGGTCTAGGCCTTCTTTTTCTAATTTGGCCTTCTCCAAATAATAACTTTTCTCAGCTACACTAAGCAGCCTCCAACTCTCACTGATTTTCTTATTAATTTCAGACTGAGGAAGATGTGGGAGCTCCTGTTGAACTTTCAGGTATATGTCATAATAATATAGAAGGTATGCAGATCTGAAAAACAAGCAAAAGCCAGGCTTTATTTCCCCACCATGAATGCTCACCAGCTTTCTATTCTACATGAATAGACAATGCTGACAATGTCTATGTCTACCGACAATGCAATCCCATACATGTTTTCTCAAAAGTTCGGCCAGTGTACATTCAATAGAGCTTATTCACAAATTAAAAAGTACAGAACTGCAGGCTAACCACAGCAAGTAGATACAGCGAGATGGCACAGAAACACAGTACAGTATTTCAAATGCAGCTTCCAGCAAACAATATTCAAAATATCAGAGAAGTAACATGTTGCTGAAAAGAAAAATCAATGGTCTTGCAGAAGTTTAAAGATCCATTTGTCTTACATTAGTTCTGTGAGTATCCTAGGATCTATTGCTCCAGTGGGTTTCTACTCACAACCCTACTGTAGTCTCGACTCTGCCTCTGCTTCTTCACTGACAAACCTTACTTTACAAAACCAAGGGTTTTAGGCAAAAGAAAAAAAACATAAACGGATAAGAATTTCAAAAGCACAGTTGCCCACATGGCTTATATACTATTAAGAAGAGGGAAATCACTCACCTTGGCTTTTTAGTCTTTTCTCCTTGATCCCCAGGACTTCTATATTTCTTCTTTTTCTTAGAAGGCACCGGAGATGCATAGGTGTATGCACTTTCTATCTCCTCCATAACTATAGTTACTTCACTGCCATCATATGGAGCCTCCATTGCTAGATAGAAAACCCCAAAAGTTATATACTCCCAACAATTACCACATATAGATCCTACACAAATATGTACATATAGTACACTTCAATATCACAAAACGTAATTCTGACAGTTGCTGCTGTTTTTCCATGGTGTCAAGACACTTCTGACTTATGGCAACCCTATGAGGTCATCTCATAAAAAGATCCACTCAGCTCTTGCAAACTCAGGGTCATGTGTTCCTTTATTCATGAAATCCATCTCATAGTCATTCTTCTTCTTTTTAGAGTCTATATTGTAATTATGAGACCTAGACATCTCTTGTGATAAATTTTAAATAAGAAACTTTAAAATGCATGTTTCAACAGCTACACCTATTAAGTTTGTGAAACAAGCAGATACAGTGGTGCCCCGCTTGACAACGATAATCCGTTCCTGGAAAATCGCTGCTAAGCAATATCGTCATCAAGCGGGGAAAAAACATTGGAATGCATTGAAAACCAGTCAATGCGTTCTAATGGGGGAAATACCTAATTGTCCAGTGAAGATTTCCCATAGAGAACCACCAATCAGCTGTTCAAAATCGCTGTAATGCGAAGCTTCCCTCCGGAAAGCAGCCATTTTGAGAAGGGAGAGAAGCCATTTTGCGGAACCGGAAAAATCATTGTATAGCAAACAAAGGGTTTGCAAACCACGCTCCAAATCAATGTAATGCAGATTTCCCCCATAGGAACCATCGTTTTGCAATCACAATAGTGATCGCAAAAATGTCATCATTAAGCAATTTCGACGTCATGCGGGGTAAGCGTATAGCGGGGCATCACTGTATTCATCCACACATTATTTCCTATATGGATATCATATCTGAGCCAGTAAACTACATGTATGAATACATAGATTGTATAAACAACAAATATACATCTGTATTAATGTATCAGCATGCAGAAAAGCCAGAACAGACTGTAAATTTTCAACATGGAAACAGAGCTCAGTATTACCTGGGCAGAAATCACATAACAACATCTCTCTGGATGGAGAGGCACTAGAGACCATTTTGCAAATACTGTATACATTGCCTACTACAGCATACCAAAGAATTTCAGAACAAAATTATCTGTGCTTTATTGATTGCAACAAAGCTCTTGACAAGCCAGAACAGACTGTAAATTTTCAACATGGAAACAGAGCTCAGTATTACCTGGGCAGAAATCACATAACAACATCTCTCTGGATGGAGAGGCACTAGAGACCATTTTGCAAATACTGTATACATTGCCTACTACAGCATACCAAAGAATTTCAGAACAAAATTATCTGTGCTTTATTGATTACAACAAAGCTCTTGACTGTATAGATCATGAGAAGCTACAGAATGCTCTAAAAGAAATGGGTGTCCCTTGGTATTTGATTGTCCTGTGTGTAACTTATACTTTGGACATGAAGCTACTACTGTATTAGGAAGATGGAAAAACACAGGTTTCACATAAACAAGAGTCAGATAAGGGTGTATTTTATTTCTCTGTCTGTTCAATCTATACACAGAACATATAGGGGAAGGTGGAGAAGGTTCAGGTGAAGAAATGAAAACTGGAATCTAAAACATGCAGATGATAATACATTACTGACAGAAAGCAGCAATGACTAAAAGTTCTGATAAAGGTGAATGAATAAATTGCAAAAGCAGGACTGCAGTTGATTACTGAGAAGATAAAAAGTATGTCTACACAATAATTAAATAATCTAAATATTAACAATGAAGAAATAAAAATCATTAAAGATTCTCTGTAACTTGGTTCAATCAACAATCCACGCGGAGACTGCAGCACAAAAAAAAAAATAGAAGAACTAGAAACGGGCCTCAAATGTAAGAATGTGTTACTGAAGACCAAGGTGAAAATAATGTAAACTTTAATATTCCCACTTACCAGGTACCATTGTGAAAGCTGGACATTAATGAAACTGGGAAATGTGAGGTTGGAGGAAAGTTTTGCAGATCTCATGGGTCATTAGAAAGGCAAATACAAGTGAATTCTAGATCAAATCAAGTCAAACCTCTCCCTAGAAGCAAAATGATTAAAATTATGCTGTCATACTGTGCACACATCATGGGAAAGTAAGACTAACTAAGAAAGACAATAATTCTGGGAATAACTGAAAGCAACAGGAAAGGAGGAAGATTGTCTCAATAAAAGAAACCACTCTGGAGTTTGCAAATGCTGAGCACAGCTGTTGACTACAGGCCTTTTTTTGAGGTCACCAATTCACAGGGTCACCATAAGTCAGCAGCAACATGACAGCACGTAACAACTACAAAAACAACAGCAAACACAATGGCTCCACGTAAGTCAACATTTAAGACAGCTGAACTGGTTTGCTATGATCAAGGGCTCATCACCAGGACGACAGCTGTTCACAGACTGACACAACAGCCAAAGGAAAGACTTAACATGAAGATTTTAGGTGCATCACAACTCCAAGGCAAAGTAAAATGCTTCTATCAGGCTGTTTCCCTATACGTTTCCACTGTTCTGCAAAAAAAAAATCTTTAGGATCTTGTGCATAATTAAATGCCTTGATAAAATAAATGAAGGGCAATATCATCGGACACCAAACAAAAATGCTTGTCCCATTATACAGGTAGGGGTTAAAAATTAATCTAATTCCCGTTGAGCTGGAGAGGGTTCCAGACACCTTCCTAAGAAGGGAAGGAAGGAGGGCGCTTAGGGAGGCATTTGTTCACCTCAGAGCCGAGACAGGTTTCTTATTTACTCAGGACAGGGCGCATTTTAAAAAAAAAGTACTTCTGCTTCCATCAGGCACCAATCCTGACTGCCATACGTGGATATCGGCCACCCTCGTCTCCTAAAGGTGCTTATCGCCTGGCTGGCCACGCCGCCAAGAGCCGTGCGGACAGCGAGGGGAGCCGGGTTCTCCCCTCGTGCAACGCCCGCTCCCGCCACCACGACGGCCGGGCTGCCCCTGGGCGTCGCGAACTCAAAGCGCCGCTGAGCGGGAGAGACCGGATTTTTTGCCCTGCCCGGGGCTTCGACAGACTCACTTGCAGCCGCGGGGCAAGCCGTTCATATCCCGGCAGAGAAGGCTCCCGTCGCCCGACCATGCCGAGCGGGAGAGCCAGAGCATCAAACATCCACAGGAACCTGGAGCGACCGGCAAAGGGAGACCCCGGAATAAATTACGTCCTGCCGGGAAAAGCTGCGAGAGCACTCCTGCAGGCAGGCACCATGCCGGAAGTTCTACACGGACAAGTTCTTCCCGTGACTAAAGGTCATCCGGTCTGCAAAGGTTCAGGCACCGCCCCGCACAGCGAGAAAGAATGTCAGGGCGGAAAACATAGAGTGGAGAGTAGAGTCGGAAGGAAAGCCGCCAGGAGCCGCTCTAGGGAAGAGAGATGAACATAGATTTCTATCGCGTTCCTAGCGGCAGGAGGACAGAAGTGGCCGTCTCTGTGGGAGCTTAACGGCGACGGGCAGAGTTAAGCTCCCAACTTGTAAAAGGGTTTTCCTAACACACCCCGCAGCCCCCAGAAGGAAAACGGGTGGGTGGCTGGAGAGGGATGAACAATCACTAAGCAGGGGTCCCCTTATTAGAAAAAAGGCGTATGGATAGCTCAGTGGGTTAGGAATCCATTGGGGGTTTGATTCCCCACTACGCCTCCCTTGAGAGGGGCTGGGCTCGATGATCCATAGGATCCCTTCCAGCTCTGTAGTTCTAAATTTATCATCATCATCATCATCGAAATGATAATCTGCAGTTACCTGCCCTGCAGCATAGTGTAGAAGATAATCGAGTGGAAAACCAGAGAGCTCCTGCAATCTCACCTGCAGTTTTAACTTCTTTTGAAAAAAAAATCTCTAAGCAGTTACTCTGTTGCAGAAAAGAACAAAAGAGTCTTGAATCACCTTAAAGACTAGCAAATTTATATCCCGTATAAGTTTTTTACATTGCACCTGGCTGGATAGCTCCGTGGGTTAGGCAGAGGAGTATGATTCCCCACTGTGCTTCCTGCATGTAGAACCAGCCTGTGTGGCCTTGGGCAAGCAGCACAGTCCCAGAAGAATGGGATGGTCAACCACTTCTGAGTATTCTCTACCTGGAAATCCCTGAACAACAGTTGCCGTAACTTAGAACTGACTTGACAACACATCATTGTTGTTTTTGGTCTTGGACTGCAGTCAGCTTCCAACAGATGCAGCCTTGCATGCTGCCCATCAAAGGCAAGGGAATGGCAGAGCAGGCAGAGAAGGGTGCTCACACAGATGACCCTGCCAAAAAAAGATAGTCAAAGAGAGTTGGAGCAGCCGGTGCCATCTGTTGCCTGTATCCTTACCCATCCTCTGAAATATGCTACACAGAAGGATAGAGTGAGCAAAAAGAAGCAGTGTCTGCTTCCTGCCAGAGAGTTTCCCTATTTCTGAGAGAAGGATTTGGCAAATGATGGCTGGCACTTCCAAAAATGGCTGCTTTGCTATGTTCTACCACCTGCTTACTTACCTTCTGCTAATTTAGCAGTCAACTGCTAACTTAGTCCAGTCCCTACCACTGTGCCCCTCTAAGGGGGAGTGCAGACGGGTGAGAGGATGAGGTGACTCCTTTTCCAGCGACCAATTTTGTGTGCTGCCTTTCTTTCAATGAAAAGCCCCTCTTACCTCCAGAAGTGGCCTGCATGGAAGAGGCAACAGTTCAAGAGGGATGACTATACAGTAATCTGTTTTTTTCCAGCTTTTTCTGAAGGGACAGAAAAAAAGAGAAGAACTTGGGGTGAGGGAGATAGCTGTTTGTACAAACAGATCAAGGTGCTTATTTTTGAAGTTTGGGCCTGTTTGTACAAACAGATCAAGGTGCTTATATTTGAAGTTTGATCTCTCCAGTTCAGTATTTAGGGTCTAAACAACAAATGCTGTTGTTTAGTCTTTCCTCAATAAGGCTTGGCACAATATATCCCCCACTAAAACGGTTGAGTACGAAAGCTTAATAAGGGCTTAAATTGTGTTTTCCTGAGTTAAGGGTAAACTGAAAACACAGAACCACTGAAAAACTGGATAGAGTACAGAGGCATGAGCCTTTACATAGGCAAAGCTGGTGATTGCATTTTATTCATTCATTCATTCATTCATTCATTCATTCATTCATTCATTCATTCATTCATTCATTCATTCATTCATTCATTCATTCATTCATTCATTCATTCATTCATTCATTCATTCATTCATTCATTCATTCATTCATTCATTCATTCATTCATTCATTCATTCATTCATTCATTCATTCATTCATTCATTCATTGAATAGTGCATTATTCTGGGCACTTTACTGCAAAATAAAATATAACCCCACAATAATAGGATTCTAGGCATTAAATCAGTTAAAGTCAAATTGTGAGTGTTACATTATGGTTAGAAGAAATGGAAGCTTCAGTGCAATGTTGCTCTTCAGACAGTAGAAATTCTGCCTCCTGTAGAGGGTATATGCAGTGCATAGCCTCCAATCACAAGGTGATACAGTACTAATAATTTCACTGTCTGATTATCTAGTTCTTATGTGTCTTTCAGGGGAAGAAAATTTCCTTATTGCTCTTCTTTATCTTCTGTCTCCGTTGGATTTCTGCAATGTTCACTACTTTAGAGTGGAACAATCACTTGGTTATGTAATGTGTGAGGTGTCACCTGTACAGCTCTCAAAAAGTCCTATTTGCCACAAGAAAAAGAAATAGGCTTAGCTTAGCAGCCGTGGTGTTACCCCAAATTGGTTCCTGTTCTTTATATCCTGGTATCATATCATTGCTGCATCAGCCATAGGAATGATGTAACTAGAAGACTCATTGTACAAAGGGTTTTAAATCAGCCACATGTTTTTCAGTTGATTAATACTTGCTCCCTAGCCAGTGGTGCTACATTAAGCATTTTTATATAGTAAAATATGTGGGTTTAGACTTTAGAGAAATGTCTCATAGTAGACTAAGTGAGAAGAGAGTTTTCTGGACAATTAATATTTGCACTACAGTGAAATGAAGCGCTGCCTGTTGAAACTAGGGAGGGACTGCGAACAAGACCAGTTTCTTAACAAGTTATTTAACAAAGTTGGCCCTCCATAACTTCTGACAGATTAATCTTTAACTCAAAATAATGTTTTAAATAACCTTCTTGAAAGCTTCCTCCTAAGCTTACTTGTTTCAAGGACTTTTGTGCCTTTCTGTTTTCTTCAGCATACTGCAGTCCGTTAGCATTATTTTTCACAGTGGAACAAAATGAAGTGGTGCATGTCAAAAACAGGAACTCTGAGCAAAATTGGTTCCCCAGCCAGTTTTAAGAGAATAATGAATGAAGGAAAATACACTTAGGAAGTGCATTTAATTACATGTTATCATTCCTAAACTATATATACACTAGTGCCCCCTGGCCACAAGTAGGATGGATCTACTCCAGAACTTTGGTGGGTTCCCACAACGTTTCTGGTTTCCAGTCATAGGCTCATAATGTGTTCTAAAAGAAGGATTCCAGTAACACAGAAAGTTTGGAAAGGAAGAATTCTACCTTGTCCCATCAACAAATACAAGAAACAGGAAGGTACAAAGCTCACTCAGTCCTTCTGTTTCTGCTTGAGATGTGGTATTTCAATAACAACGAAAAGCAGTGATGGCCAAGTGGAAAGGAATGTTGTAATCAAAAGAGTGGTTCAGTGGTGCTAGATTTCACATGAGATAGAGTCTGAAATTTGTTTTGTTCCAATAGCTTTCATTTGTGGCTTTCTATATATCTAATTTAGCTATCTAATTCATCTAAGCTATCTAGATACTGTAATTTATGGGCTCTGCTGCCAGATAATGGACATTATTGAGCAAAATAGGTAAAGCTGTATAATTTGGCAACATTGACTTCCTCTACCTAATTTATCCCTTGGATTAATTGTGTAAAGAATGCCAGGTGATTCTGCTTTTTTTCACCAGCTAAGGTGTCTGTGTACTCAGACACTATGAATGCACTTTTGAGCTCATGGAGGCTTCGGTCTTGGCTATATGATTTTGCTGGAACAGGCCAATGCAGGCTGAACTGAGTCACTAGGAGTTGCAGAATTCCATCTGTTGCAATCCTTGTGTCAAGATTTGAAATTTTCTTTGTATAGAGTGTTAAAACAATTAAGGGGAGATGTAGAAAAAGTAGCCCGGAAAATGAAAATGCTTTTACAATTGAGGCTTGAACAGTAGTTTACTACTGTATTGTGTGCTGCTTTATATACCACCCTATAGTGCTTAAAGGTCTTTCTGGGTGGTTTACAATTTAATTATACAGGCCATATATTGCCATGCCACCCTGCAAGCTGGGTACTCAAATTTACTGACCTCAGAAGGATGGAAGGTTGAGTCAACTTCAAGTCACCTACCTGAACCCAAAATCAAACTCAAGTCATGCGCAGAATCTTCACTGCAGTACAGCAGTTTAACCACTGCACCATGCAGCTCTTTACTATACTGTAGTTGGTGGAAAACAATTAGCCAGCTATCCCATCAAGCATGGTCATTGTACCCTAATATTCCTGACAGCTGAATATGTTCAACAAATAATAACAAAGCATAAACAGTGAATACAGGTCTTATAATTTGCACTATCTGTATACACAATATTCTGGTTTTCTAGGACTCTGGTGTACCAGATGCTTTAGGCTTCACAATTTCCTTTTTTCTTTTTTTTTTTCTTTTTTTCCTTAGTGCATCTGGTCCTTGGACCTCCAAACCCTGCACATTGTTTATACTTGGAATGGAAAGATGAAAAACTGAAAGAACTGTTAACATAGGGAGATAATACACACACACATGAATTCAACTCATCAACACAAGACGATAACATGCTATGCCCCATGCACCAGATGCCAACAAGAATCATGAGAACTGTTAACATAGGGAGATAATACACATACACATGAATTCAACTCATCAACAGAAGAAGATAACATGCTATGCCTCATGCACCAGATACCAACAAGAATCATGTACTAGCTGCACAGGCTTCGTTGGCAAAAGCCAGCAACACAATCAACATGGATTTTCCTCCATAGATTCAAATTGATTTGTCTGGGTGAGCACTAAGAATAATTTTAACGTGCATTATTAATATGCTTAAAGGCTAAATATTATTTAAAATTACTATATATTGTGAGCACTAAGAATAATTTTAATGTGCATTATTACTGTAATATGCTTAAAGGCAAAATATTATTTAAAGTTACTATATAACAATCAACATGGATTTTCCTCCATAGATTCAAATTGATTTGTCTGGGTGAGCACTAAGAATAATT